TATTAATTTGCCCATACCCGCACATTTGTTGCTCTCTCATCGAACATGTACATAAAACAGTACGATAAAAACTCCCATGGGAGGACTGTACTATAAACATATGCATATGATAAAGGAAGAAGAGTTCTATTGTGTTATGCTATTTTACAATCCAAGACGGCGAAAGACACCCGTACATCATTAAGAGGACACATTTCTCAAAGGAATGATCAGTAAAATAGTCTATTTTGTTTTGTTATAAAAAAACGAGTTTTAAAAGAATTTCATAATTTTTTTTAGTTTAGTGGGGTAAAACAAAAGAGATATTAACACTTTTTGTCGATCAGTTCGATATATTTAAAGCGTACATCAGCGAATGTGAAACCCGTCCGGTCAACTTATTTTGTAGAAAAACATTTATTTTTACTTTAAAGGTTATATTTTCATATAATATATTTATTAATCTCGCAGATTTCCTTATTTCTTGAATAAATATTGTAAAACAAAAAGAGATCTTAACACTTTTTGTCGATCAGTTCAATATATTCAAAGCGTACATCGGCGACTGTGAAACTAGTCCGGTCAACTTTTTTTGCTCAAAAATATTTTTTTCAAATTTTTTTTAGATTTTCATTAAATATAGTTTAGTATTTCAAATGTCGCCAAATATGAAAAAAATCTACCAAATAACAAAAAAGTTATGGTCACTTATATCTCATCCGGTCATTATCCTGTCAATCGTCCTGTCATTAGTGTAACCCGTTTTGTGGGGGTTACACTAATGTCCTGACAATGTCCTGACAATGTCCTGACAAAGTCCTGACGGATATGAAAATGCTAATTACGTTTTCATTATATAAAGGATTTACTTTAAATTTGGAACCAAGCAAGATGACAACATTAATCTAATAAATAAAAGAAAAAAAAGAAAAAAAAATATTTTTAAGAGTTAGAAAACTTGACCTGACCAACTTCGACTTTGAAATCACTAATGTCCTGACCGATATGAAACGGCTAAATACTTTTTTATTATTCACAGGATAGACTTCAAATTCGATATCAAGGAAGATTAAAACATTTAATCCAAAAATATAAGAAAAAAATGAAAAAAAAATAATTTTTAGAGTTAGAAAACTTGACCTGACCAATACGATTTTGCCGCGACTAATGTCCGGACCGATATAAAACTGCTAATTTCTTTTTTATCTTTGGAAGGATTAACTTCAAATTTAGTAGCAAGGAAGATTTCGACATTTAACAAAGAAATAAAAAGAAATGAAAAGAAAGCAAATATTCAAAAGACCAAAAAACTTGACCTGACCAACATAGGCTATTCACCAAAAAAAGACATGTTCGTTTAAAAAATAGAAAGACTATGTATATTTCTTAAATAAATGTCTTTAAGTTTGATAAATATCAATATTTTATTAAATATTTAAATGACAAAAAGAAAAAAATGTGAACAAGTATTGCAAGGGTAAAAATATATTGACCTGACATTGTCGAACTTGTCCTGATCAATTTTCTAACTGAAAGAAAATGTTAACCTCTTACCTTAAATTATTGAAATTGAAAATATCCGATCACAATGATATTACAACATTGAACGCAGAAAGATACTGTTGAAATGAAACGAAAGAGAAATATTAGAACCAGTTGCTGAATGTGAGTATTGTTTATGCATGTTAACTTTCTGTTATTGCTCTAATTGTTTATCTGATTAGGGGCTTGTTATGATTAGATTAATCACCTACTTGTTAATCCAATTAATTAATTATGAACGTGAACTGTGACCAGCTATTATTAAGACTGATAATTTATGATAAACAATACATTGGTATTTATGGGCTTCTACAAGCTTTGGTGATTGCTTTTTAAAAGTGAACATTAGTTACTTACAGTTATAAATATAATACATATTTTTAGTCTCTTTCAAAAGTTTTCATAGTGCTCTAATACATACAACCTCAGTGCTTTTTATTCGAATTGATATATTGCTTTAGTGCTATTTTTCTTTGTATATAAATCTCCTTGCTTTTGTTTAGTGTAATTAATTGTAGAAAATTGTAAATATATTTTTTGTGCTTTTGTTACATATTACTTGATTCTAATCATGTCTTCATTTCCAGTGCTGATTGCTGGCCATTCCCAGGCCAAGTATTTTAATCAATATTTATCTTTATCTGAAACTAATGTGCTTTCTTATTCAGGTTTTCGTATTGACCAGATGTTCAACGAACTGCAACCAACCATCGACAACTACAACACCGTGGTACTTCACGTTGGCGCCAACGACCTCTCCCGTGGTTCATCAGTAAAGACTCTACTCAGGAAATACCAACAACTGACATCAGACATTTGGCACAGCAACCCAACAGCAGACATCATCATATCTGGAGTCCTACCTAGAGCCGACAACCAATTCCCAGGGGCACTTCTGCGCACCAACTTCCTAACGGAACTCAACCAGAGAGCTCGGCTACTCAATACCAAACTACAGTTACTAGCTACCCGAGTTCCAAGACTCCACTACGTTGGTCACCCGTCATTCGCCCAGAAAGGTACTATCCAGAGACACCTACTCAGTCGAGATGGTCTTCATCTAAGCTACCGTGGTACATCAACTGTGGTGTTCTGGGCTTAAGACCGCTATGGATGTGTATAGAGATAACATTACAAATAGTGATATTCCTGGTGTGCAACAAGGTGTTTTAAATGCAAGAAATGTGAAACAAGTGGAAAACATTGTGCGAAAAGTGAATGAACAGAAGAGAATAGGCAAAGATGATATTTACAATCTTATGTTGTTGGCTTACCACATGTGTTCCCGGACTTGACTGCTATAATAGCCTTACCGGAGATGATATCGATAGTGAACCAATTGCTGGATGTTAACACTGAAGAGGATATACCGTTTCAATTTTTCTATGATACAACATTTAAACTTGGAGATTTCTATGTGTCGCCGCTAGTGTTCCGTAACATAATTTTTGAAGACCGCCCAATCATGCCAGTAGCATTTCTTATACATGGAAGGAAGAAAGAAAAAATGCATTCAAAATTTTTCGAATTTGTGTCATCAGTGTTTCCGAAGCTAAACAGAAAGTGTGTGCCATTTATTACAGATCGTGAACCAGGATTAGTGAATGCAATAGAAAAGAATTTTCCGAATAGCGATGTTATAATGTGTTGGAACCATTTGATAACCGATGCCAAATTTAATTTACATAAGATGGGTGCCGATCAGGAAAACATTGCGTTTTATCTATCGAACATAAGAGAATTACTGCGTTGTGATAGTGTTGAAGAATACAAGGAGAAAAAACAATTGCTTATGGTAAAGTGGTCAAAACCGATTGTTTCATATTTCAACAAAATGGAAAAGGATATATTATTTCATTGTGGGAAGTGGATAATTAACAAGTACGAAAATCTTTATGATCCGTTTTCTGGTGTTACCAACAATGCGTGTGAAAGCATGAATGCCGTTATCAAACGATTAAACAAATATAAAGAGCTTCCTGTTGATTGCTTCGTTTTAAGCATGTATTACCTTCAAGTATACTTCATAACAGAAATTCAGAGAGGATTAGCCGGTGTAGGAAATTACAATTTGAGACATGAATTCAGACACGCCCGCATTCCAAAAGATGAAATTTGTATACCGAAACGTGTGATTAAACCTGATGATATTGTGAAACATGTGATGTCCGAAATAGATTCTGTGCGAGAAGAATGCGTTAAGGAATATACTGAAAATACATCAACAACTGTGCTGTTAAATCAAGATTCAAATTCTGTGCCGTTAAGTGAAGATTCAAAGTGTGTGCCGTTAATTGAAGATATCGAAAGTAATGAACTACAAAGTGTGGTTTGTGATAGTGAACAATGTACTAAAAACAGTGAAGAAATAACAACCGAAATTCCGAAAGTTGTGTCAATTATTGATAAGAATCTGTCGCAAAAATCGTTAGCCCGTCTTACAGTAGAAAACGACAATGTAACATTTGTGCAACAGCAGAAGGCATTTATGGTGAAGGGAACTCAAGGAAACATATATGCTGTAACCTTACTACCGAAAGAAACATGTCAGTGTCCATCGACAACACAGTGTTACCATATATTAGCTGCAAAAATGTTTTTAGGTGATGAAACCGATAATAAACCGAGAGTTGTTAATTTAAGACTACTATCCAAGAGAAATTTGAAAAGGAACGACAAAAAATCGGGAAGAAAGAAACCACGTGCGAATGATTATGATAACACCGAAGTTTTACCAGCGCCGGATTCAGAAATAGTGGAAAATATCGATATGCCAGAAACACCAGGAAAACAATCGTCCACAACGGATTTTATATCGGTCAGGACATTAGTCACGACAAAGTCGATGTTGGTCAGGTCAAGTTTTTTTACCCTTAAAGTATTTTTTTCCCAATTCTTTTCAAATAAGTATTAAATCAATATTACTTTCTTGTCTGGTGTCAAATTTGAAGTCAATCCTTCCAAAGAAAAAAAGGAAATTAGCAGTTTTATATCGGTCCGGACATTAATCGCGGCAAAGTCGTAGTTGGTCAGGTCAAGTTTTCTTACTCTAAAAATTATTTTTTTTGCATTTTTTTCTTATATTTTTGGATTAAATGTTTTAATCTTCCTTGATATCGAATTTGAAGTCTATCCTGTGAATAATAAAAAAGTATTAAGCCGTTTCATATCGGTCAGGACATTAGTGATTTCAAAGTCGAAGTTGGTCAGGTCAAGTTTTCTAACTCTTAAAAATATTTTTTTTAATTTTTTTTCTTTTATTTAATAAATTAATGTTGTCATCTTGCTTGGTTCCAAATTTAAAGTAAATCCTTTAAATAATGAAAACGTAATTAGCATTTTCATATCCGTCAGGACTTTGTCAGGACATTGTCAGGACATTGTCAGGACATTAGTGTAACCCGTTTTGTGGTGTTTTGCTTTTCGTCGGTTCTTGTGTATATAGTTGTAGAAGGGGAGATAACACATTTTAAAATAAACAAACGAACATGGGTGGCTTTAATTTTCAAAATGTTAATACCAAGTCATTTTTTATCTCTGCCTGTGGTGTCCGTGATAGAAAAAATCAGAGGAAGTCACCAGGAGAGGTAAACATATTTTTTGTGTAGAAAAACCCCACAGTCTTCATCACTTTCACCAAATCTTCATGGTTGATTTTTATTTACTTGGGCTGATTATAATTTCAAAATACTCAATTAATCTTACAACGCTTCTTTTCTCTTTGTGCTATACTTTTTGTCTTTTTTGGTTTATAATCTCATTATTTTTGTCGAGCTTTCGACTTTTGTCGAAAAAGCGAGACATAGCGATCCTACATTCCGTCGGCGTCGTCGTCGTTGTCGTCGGCGGCGTCCACAAATATTCACTCTGTGGTTAAAGTTTTTGAAATTTTAATAACTTTCTTAAACTATCCTTGATTTCTACCAAACTTGGACAGAAGCTTGTTTATGATCATAAAATCATATTCAAAAGTAAATTTAGTAAAAAGAAAAATTCCATTTTTTCCGTATTTTACTTATAAATGGACTTAGTTTTTCTGCCAGGAAACATTACATTCACTCTGTGGTTAAAGTTTTTGAAATTTTAATAACTTTCTTAAACTATGCTGGATTTCTACCAAACTTGGAAAGAAGCTTGTTTATGATCATAAGATAATATCCAGAGGTAAATTTTGTAAAAAAAAATTCCATTTTTTCCGTATTTTACTTATAAATGGACTTAGTTTTTCTGCCAGTTAACATTACATTCACTCTGTGGTTAAAGTTTTTAAAATTTTAACAACTTTCTTAAACTATCCTGGATTTGTACCACACTTGGACAGAAGCTTGTTTATGATCAAAAGCTAGTATCAAGAAGGAAATTTTGATAAAATTTTGTTCCATTTTTTCCGTATTTTACTTATAAATGGACTTAGTTTTTCTTCCAGTTAACTTTACATACAGTCTGCAGTTAAAGTTTTAAAAACATTTATTAGATTCAAAAACCATCCTGGATTTTTACCAAACTTGGACAGAAGCTACTTACAATCAAAAGATAGTATAGAGAGGAATATTTTTATTAATTTTTTTCCTCATTTTTGTTGAGCCTGCGATTAACAGCAGAAGTAGGCGAGACACTGGGTTCCGCGGAACCCTTACGAATTTTTTTAATAAGTTTTGGATTTTCAAATATTTTGGCCTCGAGAAATTTGGTTGGAAATGATAAATTGAGTTTCCTATGACAGTTTACTGTTTTAAAATGAAACTTGCATAGATGAACAATATAGATGGGGGAAAATCTTGTTGGATTTTAAGGTAAATATGTCAAAGGTCAAGGTCACAGATGCTAAAAATATGGAAATGGTTGTTCTAGGTGATTTCTTGAGTTGCACTTGTCCGATTTTAATAAAACTTAAAAATTGTTGAAATCACACAGAGTAGGAAAAAGAAAACTCCTAGCAATTGTCCATGGAATTTTATGGTCAGCTGGTCAAAAGTCAAAAGTCACAGGTTCTATAGATTCCTGTATGAAATTCTTCAAAATCTTGATCGTCCTGAATATGCATGAAATATTTGCCACTGGACGTTAAGCAACCAACAATCAATCAATCAATCAAAATCTTGTTTTTCAAGATGAAATTTCTTTAAAAACAGCATTTGATTTAAACGAACATCTTCCTCCAAAAGTCCTGTTCCTTAAATGATTTTAACTACCTACAGTGACCTAAGGACATTCAAAAAAGTAATATATAGTGATACAATGTACATGACTATACTAACAATAATAAAAGGTTTTAAAAAATCCATTTTCAGTGGAAGCTCCCAATGTTGGTTTTTTTTTCAGATATTTTTTTTATTTTCTCTGAAGCCAATTCTCCCAATTGGCTTATCATTAAACTATAGCAGTTTTATTTGCGTACAAATTGAAAGTTATTGATATAAATGATAGAAAGGAGGTGAGATATGTAGTTGTTACTTACAACAATGTACAATATTACAAGGTTTATGTGATGACTGGTCAACTTAAATATTATAAGCCAAAGCATTGTAAACTTTGTAAACTGATTTTTGTAATCATTGTTTTACAATATAATTACAGATTAACAAGAAATGGAACTGTGAGTGTGACATTGATGAAGAGGAGATCATGGAACTACAATCAGATAAATCTGAGCTTGATTACGAAAGGCAAAGCTCTAAAATAGACTCAAAAATGGACTCATCAGAGAGTAGTTACAAGAGAGAAACATGGAGTAGAAAAGCTGATTTTATCTTATCCATTGTAGGATATTCTGTAGGAGTATCTAACATTCTTAGATTTCCTTACTTGTGTGTTCGTAATGGAGGAGGTTAGTCTTAACCATTTAATCAATAAATAATACATACAAATGATAAGACATATCGCTTACATCTTTGTACTTCATTTTGGTCTGTGGTGAAAAATTGTCTCATTGTCAATCCTACCACATTTTCTGATTTTTTTATATTAATAAACATGTTAGACAACAAACAACACCACCTACAGACACCAAACTTTTAAAAAAGTACAAACATTAAGTGTTACCCTTGAGCGTCCATCCTTCCATCCGTTTTTATACGCCCGTTTACGGGACGTATTATGGCATACCGTTGTCCGTCTGTCTGTCCGTCATCAACATGTCGGACATTAACTCAAAAATGCTTTAACCAATTTGCATAAAACTTTGGTGAATTGTTTATATCTATTGACGTGAGCTCCCTTTCTTTTTTTTATAAAATTTAGATTTTACGTTTCCGAGTTATGGGGTTTTATTCATTAAAAAAAGGGGGATTTTCCAGTTTTCGGACAATAAGTCAAGAATGCTTTCACCAACTTCCAAGAAATTGTGGTGAATTGTTTATATCTATTGACATGAGCTCCCTTTCGATTTTTATAAATTTTAGATTTTACGTTTCGGAGTTACAGGGTTTTATTCATAAAAAAAGGGGGGATTTTCCAGTTTTCGGACAAAAACTCAAAAATGCTTTCAGCAATTCTTATGAAACTTTGGTGAATTGTTTGTATGTATTGATGTAAGCTCCCTTTAGAATTTTATAAATTATACATTTTACATTTCTGAGTTATGGGGTTTTATTCATTAAAAAAGGGGTGATTTTCCAGTGTTCGGACAATAACTCAAAAATGCTGTCACCAATTCTCATGAAACGTTGGTTAATTGTTTATATCTATTGATGTAAGCTCCCTTTTTATTTTCATAAATTTCTAATATGACATTGAGAATTTATTGAACTTTATTTGTTTATAGTCTGACAACAGATTTACTAAGTATTGCACAACAGCAAGAAATCTTTAATTGAATATAAATTCAATTCATATAACCAATTTCAAGTTCTTTGACTACATTTATTCAGAAACCTATAATATGTCAAATATTTAATTACAATCCAAATTCAGACCTGAATCAAGCTTGAATATTGTGTCCATTTTTGCCCCAACTGTTCAGGGTTGGACCTCTGCGGGCGTATCTAGCTGCGCTCAGCGAAGCAGTTTATTCCATCTGTCCATACTTCTGTCCATCCCAAAAGTATTTTCACATATTATAAGCAAGCTTGAGCTGGGGCATTTGTGTTCTCAGACACATTCTTTTTTAATTTTTGGTGGAGTTGTCACGGAATAGAAGTTCCTTCATAATGTAAGTTCCAAATGGAAACAATATTCTGGAATATTATTTCCACTGGAATAAATATTACAGTAAATGTTCCTGACGGAATAAATGATATAGAATATTTGTTCCAACAGGAACAGATATTATGACATTGTTTATAACAAAGTTTCCAGTGGAACTTCCGTTAGGCGGAACAAATATACGTTGACAGAGTTTCTAACATTGTCTGACAATCCTTTGATTGTCTTACTTGTTTATCAATAAAGTAATGGGGGAGATAAGCTTACATCACCTTAATTGTAGAATATTCTATTGTATATATCCTTTTAATGGCACAGAAATCCAATAGCAAAACGTTAATATGTAGTTTTCAGCAAAAGACTAGTGTATAAACATGATAAACCACATGTCAAGCACTTTATTAATATTAGAACAAAGTTTGTGCAGATATTTCTATTTATATATTATTTATTATAACAACATAAATGCAGACATTTTAATATTTATGTTTCATTTTAGGTGCTTTCCTGATACCATTTTTCTTCTTCATCATATTTTGTGGGCTTCCATTGTTTTATCTGGAAATATGTCTCGGACAGTTCTCTGGAGTTAGCTCCCTTTTTGTATGGAATATGTGTCCCTTATTCAAAGGTTAGTCCATATGAAGTTGTAAAAATAGCTTTTGATATATAACTGATTAACACTCAAATTACAATTGTATCAATAGGTAAGTGAACTTACATGCAATTTTAAATAAGGTGAATATTTGTATAGAAAGCACATAAAATCAGTTTCCTAACCTTAAATCTGCCATAGAATCATAAAATCTCCAATTTCAAATCTATAGATTTTTCTTAAAAACTAATATGTTGTTAATAAATAAATTTCCATTTGATTGATATAAAATAATCATAGGGTCACCAACTTTGTTTTTGTTGTATTTACCAATCTGTAACCTAAATGGCATAGAGTCATCAAAAATCGACCTTTTACGGCTTACAATTCGATGACATTACGTTTATTTTGACATTTTGTGGTATTTTTTACCTACACCACCACTTTGAATGATGTATGACTTAAAAAGGAAGTTTGACCCTATAATTATTTAACATCATTAAAACTGAAATTAGTATATCAACAACATATCATTTTTAAAGAAAAAAAATATATGGAATCGAAACACTATTTTGCTTATTTTAATAGGTCTGGAATATTTAATGGTACCACTTTCAGCTTTAATGAATTGGTATAACACTATTTTGTTTATTTTAATAGGTCTGGGATATTTAATAGTAACAGTTTCAGCTTTAATGAATTGGTATAACACTATTTTGTTTATTTTAATAGGTCTGGGATATTTAATGGTAACAGTTTCAGCTTTAATGAGTTGGTATTACATTACGATGTTGTGCTGGATCATATATTATTTCTTCAACTCTTTCAAAGATCCATTACCGTGGTCACTGTGTGACCAGAGCTGGAATGAGGCTGGTTGTATTCTGAGTAGACTTTCAACAAATACAACAGTAAGTTAATGTCATACTGGATTTAAACACAAAAAAACATGGTTCACTTTGCGTTATGCCTTTATAACACATAAAATTTAAGGTAGCAACAAGAAATAACATTAAAAAAGAGTTCTTTTAAAATTATTACATGTACTGGTAAGTTCTGTCTTAAAGTCTATTTAACTTATGTAGAGCAAACATTGAATTCCCTCATAGAATTTGACAACTGACTTTTAAGGTGGTACCCAACACCTTGACTAATATTAATTTGGCTCGTTTAATTTTCATAAAATTTTGACAAAATGTTTACTCTGACCCTTTGACAAAAATATAAAAATTTCAAAAAATTTGAACCAACCACTTTATCAGAAAAATTTCATTGGTTATATAGCAGTTTGACAAACCCATATTTTGATCATTGAGAAGCTTAATATTTCCTTAACAATACAACGTAATTAAAACGTTTAGCTGATTTTTACAGAGTTATCTCCCTGTAGTGTTAGGTACCACCTTAAATGTTTCATTTATCTTATTTACTGCATTTCAATTCTATTAAAAAAGTTGCTTTGTGAATAACACAAGATCTTATTCTATATTGTTCATGCTTTGCTTTTATAATTTACATTAAGTACAGCGGCTAATATTAGACGGTTATGAAGGCATGATATCTATATCAGTATATTTATAAATACTTAGAAGTAACTATCAGTAACATTGAATATGTTCACCAATAAAAATGTCTTTTAAATTTTTTTGAGTCTCATAATCCCACATTTCATTTTTGTGTCGCCTTGACAAAGTGGTATAGGCAAGACACAGCAGATCTATTTCCTGGTCATCAACAGTTGTAAATGTTTATGTTGTCAGTTTAAGAGGAATGCACTGTATGTAAGTCAAGGTTATCTCCCTTCAGTAGTGGTCCATTTCAATCTGATAGAAATACAAATTGTGTGTCTAAGCTTCAATTAGGAGGAGAACACTCCCTTCTACTTTCTGTTCTGGTAATTATTACATCAGCTTTTCATGCCTACAAAATTTCAATGGTATGTATAAATACAACAAAAACAGAGGATTCTTAAAGGTCAGTAAAAGAGAAAGTAAAATGGGTCATTTTAAGCAGATTGTTGACACAGTATCTGTATTTTAAGCAGATTGGGTCTATTTGAAACTTGTGCATTGTTTACATGTTACACAGGTGAGATTTATCTCTGTGTCAACAGTTTATTTCATGTAGATAGGAGTAAAATGCAAATTTATATGAAACTCTTAGAATGTTGTATAATTTTCAGGTCGTGAATTGTTCTGAAGTTTTCATGGGACATAACTATATACAAGAGAATGGAACATATACTTGTAATGTATCAAATATTGAATTACAGACAGCTCCTAAACAGTTTTGGCAGTAAGCCTTATATATATATTTTCAAAGGGAGATTATTCTGGAATTATTTTAAACTGATTTATCTCATGTATATTGCATGTCACTTGTTTTGATAGTTTTACTTAATTAAAAACATGACTACTGGTTACCTAATTGAAACAACAAGTTTAACATAAGAACAGAAATGTAATTTTTATAAGTAGTTAAAAATTAAAATAGATTTGTGGTATGAATGCCAATGAGACAGCTATCCATTAAAGACCAAAGGAAAAAGATGTAAACAACTGTCGGTCAATGTACAGCCTTCAACAATAAGCAACACTGATACTGCATATTAGATTATGAAAGGCCAAATGATGACAAATTTGAAACAATTCAGAAGAGAAAACCATTGACCTGATGTATATTATGACAATAAACAGAAATCAGTTATGGCCACTTTATATCAGGCTTCTGGCTTTGGTCAGACATATATATAATATGGTGGGGTCTAAGATGTTTTTTATGATTCTATTGATCAGATTTTATAATACTCTGAAGAGACTTTGCTTAAAAACTAGCATCATAGTTATATGGAACTGAAAAGCAAAATGACAGCTCACTAGAACTAAAATGAGCTATAAGAAACATCTTTTTGGACCATATTGTATGATTTGAATCAATCATCTTCATGCTCCGATTGGTAGTACAAATGTAAACAGCAATGATAGCCTCCATGTAATCTTATATAGAATGTTTAGTTCAAGCTGTTTTAGGCACTAACTTTGCTTAATAATATCAACTCAGACTTCATAATGATTGAAACACAGGATTTTAAATGTAAAAGCTTTTATTTCCTAATATTGAGAACAAGTGTAGTAGTTTTATTGAAATTATCTAAAAATATTTTTGATAGAAGTTCTTATATTGACTGTGATTCATTTTGAAAAATACATGTATATGATCGCCACATTTGAAGATTCAAATTAGTAAGACTAAAATTAATGTTTATTCCTGAAAAATTGTATGACAGATTACAATGAATACATATATTTTCATGGATTGAGGAACATTTTGTATTCATGGAAACTTGATTTTGATCTTCTATACTCAAGAAACTCATGAATAATAATGAATCCAGAGTAAACAGTAATTTCAACTTTTCTGGAACAAAATTACAATAAGATATTATAACATGGTGGGAAAATCTTGAATAAAACTCAGGACAGGAAATATTAAATATTTTTTTTACAGCTTCATTAATCTCTTCTGTATATGTATAAATTTGAATGACTTGCCTAAAAATTAGTTCTGTGGTTCGAATAATAAAAGTTTTTTTTACATGTATTTACAATATTTAATATACTGTTAATACAGATATTTATATTGTGAATCATAAACCACTGGAAAAAATGTGAAATCTAATGAATGCAATTGCAAAAGTTTTATCACAACGAATATTTTGAATGCAAGTTTTTATTTTTGCGAATCTGATACTTTTGCATTTTTTCACATCAATAAAAACATTGCGATAATTTCTGAATTTACAGTAAATTCTTTTCAAAACTAGTGTGTTTATATGTTTTTGTTGATTACAGAAATAATGTGCTTCATATATCCAATGGTATAGAAGAATCTGGTAACGTCCAATGGCATTTAGTTATTTGTTTATTAGTTGCCTGGATACTTGTGTTTCTTTGTTTAATGAAAGGAATTAAGTCTGTAGGAAAGGTGAGATTTATTTTTATACATTATACTTATTCTGTGCTGTCAATCAGTTAGATACAATGATCCCATTCTGGATTAAGTTAATCTTAATGGATGACATCCATATAATGAAATAAAATAATATGTACAAGTTGGTATTTTATTTGATTGACATACCTCCATCATTACCATTCACATTAAGTTGGTATTTTATTTGTTTGACATACCTCCATCCTTACCATTCACATTAAGTTGGTATTTTATTTGATTGACATACCTCCATCCTTACCATTCACATTAAGTTGGTATTTTATTTGATTGACATACCTCCATCCTTACCATTCACATTAAGTTGGTATTTTATTTGATTGACATACCTCCATCCTTACCATTCACATTAAGTTGGTATTTTATTTGATTGACAAACCTCCATCCTTACCATTCACATTAAGTTGGTATTTTATTTGATTGACATACCTCCATCCTTACCATTCACATTAAGTTGGTATTTTATTTGATTGACATACCTCCATCCTTACCATTCACATTAAGTTGGTATTTTATTTGATTGACATACCTCCATCCTTACCATTCAGATTGGATAATATTCAATTTCAGGTCTTTTATTGGTAAAGGGCCAGTTTCAATTTTGCCAAAATTAAACTCGAATTTCAACTTTATCATAAAATATCAAAAAGGACATACTTTAGTTATATAATGGATCTATTTTAAAAGGCTTACTGTTGAGTAAAACAAATCTATCCATAATAGTATATATTAGAGGCTCCTAAGTCAGCACATTTTGCAGATATTGTCAGAACACAATGTTAGTTTTGGGTTGTAACTTCCTCGTTTATAATGTGATATACCAAAAAGTAGTTATTTCATATAGCCGACTAGTATAGAGTGGATTATGAGTAAGGGCATAGTTATATAAATATAACAACTTATTTGAATATTCAGAAAAACTGATGACATTCTTGTTTGATTGAACCTTATAAAAAATTTTTATACTGCTTTAAATTCGGAATGTCTTGTGTGTGATCATTGTGATGGTTTCTCTAATAGACTAGATATAACTAGTAAATAATGAGTAAATATTTCTCCTTTAACTTAGGTTGTGTATTTCACAGCTATATTACCATATGTACTATTGACTATAGTATTTGTAAGAGGACTGATGATGCCGGGATCTATTGATGGTATTATATTCTACCTTAAACCTGACTTCAGCAGGTTATTAGACATTCAGGTAAGACATGACTTAGATTTGACTGTTTGTCAGAGGACTGATGATGCCGGGATCTTTTGATGGTATTATATTCTACCTTAAACCTGACTTCAGCAGGTTATTAGACATTCAGGTAAGACATAACTTAGATTTGACTGTTTGTCAGAGGACTGATGAAGCCGGGATCTATTGATGGTATTATATTCTACCTTAAACCTGACTTCAGCAGGTTGTTGGACATTCAGGTAAGACATGACTTAGATTTGACTGTTTGTCAGAGGACTGATGATGCCGGGATCTTTTGATGGTATTATATTCTACCTTAAACCTGACTTCAGCAGGTTATTAGACATTCAGGTAAGACATAACTTAGATTTGACTGTTTGTCAGAGGACTGATGATGCCGGGATCTATTGATGGTATTATATTCTACCTTAAACCTGACTTCAGCAGGTTGTTAGACATTCAGGTAAGACATGACTTAGATTTGAGTGTTTGTCAGAGGACTGATGATGCGGGGGTCTATTGATGGTATTATATTCTAGCTTAAACCTGACTTCAGCAGGTTATTAGACATTCAGGTAAGAGTGTTTGTCAGAGGACTGATGATGCCTGGATCTCTTGATGGTCCTAAATTCTATCAAACTTGACTTCAGCAGGTTGTTAGACATTCAAGTAAGAAATAAGTTTATTTGTGGCTGCTGTAAAACTTAAGGAACAAATTCTGAATTAAGTGGAAAAATAAAGGAAATTTACTGACTACATAATACAAGCAATGAAAAACGGAACAAGTGTTTTTTCTTTAAACTGTTACTTAATTTGTAGGAATATTAAATTATTACCCAGCAAACTTGAAAATAATCTTTTCCTGAGAGATTTGATGAAAATTGAATCCAACTATAATGTACATGCTCATAAAACACAATGACATTAAACTTATAAAAGAGAGGCGAAAGATACCAAGAGAGGTGAAAGATACCAAGAGAGGCGAAAGATACCAAGAGAGGCGAAAGATACCAAGAGAGGCGAAAGATACCAAGAGAGGTGAAAGATACCAAGAGAGGCGAAAGATACCAAGAGAGGCGAAAGATACCAAGAGAGGTGAAAGATACCAAGAGAGGCGAAAGATACCAAGAGAGGCGAAAGATACCAAGAGAGGTGAAAGATACCAAGAGAGGCGAAAGATACCAAGAGAGGCGAAAGATACCAAGAGAGGCGAAAGATACCAAGAGAGGCGAAAGATACCAAGAGAGGTGAAAGATACCAAGAGAGGCGAAAGATACCAAGAGAGGTGAAAGATACCAAGAGAGGCAAAAGATACCAAGAGAGGTGAAAGATACCAAAGGGATATTCAAACTCATAAGTCGAAACAAATTAACAACAGCATGACTAAAAAAAAAAAGAAAAACGTTGACAAGACAAACAACAGTACACAAAACACAACATAGAAAACTAAAGCCTAAACAACATGAACCCCACCAAAAACTGGTGATGACCACAGGTGCTCTGGAAGGGTAAGCTGATAAAAATAAAGGACACATACAAGAATATCTCAGTAATTGTTTTGATTATACTCACATGGTTAAATGTGATTTTGTGACAATTTTGTGGATTGTCTTGTAGGTATGGTTGGAGGCAGGACTACAGGTTTTCTACTCACTAGGTCCAGCTTGGGGAGGCTTGATAACCATGTCAAGTTATAACAAGTTTGATAACAATTGTCTAAGGTAGATTTATTTGTACACAATTGCCTGTACCAAGTAAGGAATATGACAGTTGTTTTCCATTCGTTTAATGTGTTTGAGCTTTTAATTTTGCCATTTGATAAAGGACTCTCTGTTTCAAATTTTGTTTGGAGTTCGGTATTTTTTGTTATTTTACTTTTTGCAACATTTTGAAAAGATCACCATATCTCTTATTGGGTGCATTGTTATCACTTGGTTTTTGTTCAGAGTTTCCTTGCTTGGTAAACACTTTTTACCTACTTTTCAAAAATGTTTAGATAAAACTGAAATATCCTCACATCCAAGATGGCCATTACTGACCTGTTTATGTTGCAAGGTTAGTTTCTAAGTCAAATGACGGGGTTCAACATTTTACTTAGATTTGAAATTTTGATTCAAGATTTCCATTTATTTCTGTTTTAAGGTTGAGATGATGCAAAATTAAGAGTAGTCTATGATTCATGACATCAAAATAAACTTTTAACTAAATATTAACTTTCCCAATTTCTTTTGTCTAGGGATGCTATCATAGGAACATTAGCAGACACTTTGACAAGTTTCTATGGAGGCTTTGTTATATTTGCCATCCTGGGAGCCATGTCATATGAAGCTAAACTGCCAATAACTGAAGTTGCTACATCAGGTGAGACAGACACCATAAACTTATCATTGATTAATAAGCCTACTGCATAAGAGTTGTCAAACAGTTTTTCCTATAAGAATAAGATGTGGTATGATTTCCAATGAGACAACCCTCCACCAGAGACCAATGATGTAGAATATTAGCAGCTATAGGTCATCATATGGCCTTTAACAATGAGCAAAACCAATACTGCATAGCAAGCTATAAAAGGCCCCTAGTATGCATGTAATTTTCGTCACTGGACAATAAACTAACTACAATTAATCAAAACATTTTACTGTAGAAAAATATTTTTTTAATGATATCAGATTGATAAAGGAAACAATAGAAAGGTGAAGGCTGAGCTCAGAATAGTTAAAACAATGATCTATCCATAATACATCATAGTAACATGTTATACATTGAATCATGGAATCAAAACCAATCATTTTGTGAAAGAGTTGATTATAGCAATCAAAACCAATCATTTTGTGAAAGAGTTGATTATAGCAATCAAAACCAATCATATTGTGAAAGAGTTGATTATAGCAATCAAAACCAATCATATTGTGAAAGAGTTGATTATAGCAATCAAAACCAATCTTATTGTGAAAGAGTTGATTAAAGCAATCAAAACCAATCATATTGTGAAAGAGTTGATTAAAGCAATCAAAACCAATCATTTTGTGAAAGAGTTGATTAAAGCAATCAAAACCAATCATATTGTGAAAGAGTTGATTATAGCAATCAAAACCAATCATTTTGTGAAAGAGTTGATTATAGCACATTATGTATGAAGTGCAATATTCCTTCAAATGAAGAAATATTTTACAACAATATGAAACTACAAATGTATGCAAAAAGTTTACAACTAATTTCAGTGTACATTTGAAATTATCAATATGTTATAAATGAATTATGGACTAAGTTAACTAAACATAGTACTAAAAATTTGGTGGAATAATAATAGACTTTTGTTTGTAGGTCCAGGTTTAGGTTTGGTGGCCTACCCTGAAGCCATTAACAAATTACCGATGCCACAAGTTTGGGCAGTTATATTTTTCCTTATGCTATTGTTTCTTGGTATTGATAGTCAGGTCAGTGTAAGATCAATAGTTACATTTAGGAGATGTTTATACAAAAACAAACAAAAAAAAACCAAAGTTTTGTGTAAGAATCTTTTAATTATTAATATACAAATTGTTTTCATGATAAAATTAAGAGATTTGAAATAATATTTACAAATCAAGATGGAACATTTTCCAATCTAATAAGTGTCTAAAAACAAAAATACCTTAAATTGTTTCAAATAACCATGATTATTTATAGTTACATTAAAAAACATTAGATAATGGATAACTTTAACAATATGATTTACAACTTCTCCCCATGTTTATATTGACTGTATTTAATTACTGATAATTGACAATTGTCATTCCAGTTTGGAACATTTGAGACAGTATGTAGTGGATTAGTAGATGCATTCCCACAGAAGTTAGGCAAGAGGAGAATATTACTAACAGCCTCTCTGTCATGTGTCCTGTTTCTATTAGGCCTGCCATTTACAATGAATGTAAGTGTATTATGTATCAAATATGTTTTAATGTCACAAACATTGACTCAGTCATTTATTGTATTTACACTGTTTTTTATGTTAAAAAATTTATATATGTAAATTATGGACATACTATGATCAGAAAAATGTATGAAAAATAGAATTATAAAAATTTACTCTGATAATTATGCATAGGGTTTTAATTGTAAAGAAAAATCGGTCAGGTGATTCTATTCCAGAGAGAGAAAATATGATGGACAGAATAAGACAGGACCTTTATTGGTCAGAAAGGTCAAAATGCTTACATCATTTCTATATTTTACTTTCAGGGAGGAATGTAGCTGTACCAGATAGTAGACTGGTATACAGCTTCATTATGTGTCATGCTGACATCATTTCTATATTTAACTTTCATGGGAATGTACCTGTACCAGATAGTAGACTGGTACGCAGCCTCATTGTGTGTCATGCTGACATCATTTCTATTTTTAACTTTCAGGGAGGAATGTACCTGTACCAGATAGTAGACTGGTACGCAGCCTCATTGTGTGTCATGCTGACATCATTTCTATTTTTAACTTTCAGGGAGGAATGTACTTTTACAAGTTAGTTGACTGGTATGCAGCTTCATTGTGTGTCATGCTTACATCATTTCTATATTTAACTTTCAGGGAGGAATGTACCTGTACCAGATAGTAGACTGGTACGCAGCCTCATTGTGTGTCATGCTGACATCATTTCTATATTTAACTTCAGGGAGGAATGTACTTTTACCAGTTAGTTGACTGGTATGCAGCCTCATTGTGTGTCATGCTAACATCATTTCTATATTTAACTTTCAGGGAGGAATGTACTTTTACCAGATAGTAGACTGGTATGCAGCCTCATTGTGTGTCATGCTAACATCATTTCTATATTTAACTTTCAGGGAGGAATGTACCTGTACCAGATAGTAGACTGGTATGCAGCCTCATTGTGTGTCATGCTGACATCATTCCTGGAGTGTATTGTTATAGGATGGATTTATGGTAATTCTATAGCAATTTGGTTTTACAGGGCTTTAATTAATAAGTCATACCCTGTGTCTGAAATTTGTAAACTTGAAAACACATTGGAATTAAAAGAGGTGTAGGGTATTTGTCAATGAGACAGCAATCCGACATAACTGAAAATTGTGAAATACATTTAAAGGTCATTATATGATGTTCTGTGATATAAATAGTTCAAAGTCTAGACAAGTTAAATACGAATTTAAAAAGATACTATTTTTGATAGAATCTCGAGAAAATACCCAACAAATTTCTTAGATTGTAAAACGAAAATTATTTAAATATTTTAGATCCTTCTTATTAATAAAATGATCACTTGAGTTAAAATGATGTGGATGTAAGCAATGAAAAGGAATAATCCTTAGATCAGTAAATACTTTAACTTACAGGTGCAGAGAGATTTAGCAGAGACATTCAATTAATGCAGGGACGACCAGCACCTAAGATATTCAGGGTTTGTTGGTGTATAGTGACTCCTGCTATTATGTTGGTAAGTATTTTTATAAATGAGGTGTTAAAGTACTTTCCATGTATTATGAGCCTTTGGCTAATGTTGATATATTCATTCATAAAACTTCAATTATTCAATAGTACTATATTGTAGATTAGTTTGTGTAAATGTAAGTGACTTTTTTCCAAGCTGTATTACTCTGAGAAAAAAACAATGTAAGAAGTATTATAAGCCAACTTTTTGTTCACAGTAAAATGTTTCACCCCTTAACTCTTTTCAAACAGCATAATTTGTCACACACATATTGAAGTTAGTCAACATGTCACCTGATTAGAAGACAAGAAAGAGAAAAATCTACATGTGCTGTATATCAGATGATGATAAACACATAATAAACAATACAAAAAATCTTTGATAAGCAATAGATTCACAGTACATGTATTAATAAATTCTTTTTTGAATTCTTTAAGTCTTTTGGATATGAAATAAAATAACATTATCAAAATGAAATTTGTTTATAAAATCACAAAAACAGTCACCAGTAGTTCAACAATGTGCACATACCCTTAAACAAGTGCAAATAACCATGATGAAGATTATAATAATACCACATGTGCAAATAATTATGATGAAGATTATAAAAATACCACATGTGCAAATATTTATGATGAAGATTATAAAAATACCACATGTGCAAATAATTATGATGAAGATTATAAAAATACCACATGTGCAAATAATTATGATGAAGATTATAAAAATACCACATGTGCAAATTATTAAGATGAAGGTTATAAAAATACCACATGTGCAAATAATTATGATGAAGATTATAAAAATACCACATGTGCAAATAATTATGATGAAGATTATAAAAATACCACATGTGCAAATAATTATGATGAAGATTATAAAAATACCACATGTGCAAATAATTATGATGAAGATTATAAAAATACCACATGTGCAAATAATTATGATGAAGATTATAAAAATACCATGTGACTTACACTTATGTTTTCACTTTTACAGATAGCTTTTATCATGACATTAACACAGTACCAGCCACCTACATATGAGGGATACCAATATCCTGTGTTTGCTAGGGCTTTGGGCCTCTTGTTGGCAGTAGTTCCACTAATACCACTTCCTATTCTTATGATTATACAGTTTTTACAGACTCCAGGAACATTCTGGGAGGTATTCAGACTTTTAATCAGTTTGTGAGTTAATCGCCCCAGTTCACACATCAATAACCTCTAAAATTAATGTGTTTAATCCTATAATAATATCCTAGTAAAAAGATATAAAAATGTCCTCATATTTACTATAAAATGTGATAAAAAAATTTGTTCCTGTAATATGGTTTTTAGATTTTTAAGATACATGTACAACTTGATCTAATACTAAAGAAAATAAGACTTTTTAAAATGAGGTCAAAACTTTTAAACAATTTAAGCAACATTGATTTAAACCCACAATAATATTTTATTGCATAAATAAAATTCTCACTATTTCAGAGACTTCAGACATTGCTGAGACCGTCAAAAGACTGGGGACCTCACCCAGATCACCTTAAAGAGGACTATCAGAATTCCTATTGTCATCACAAAAGTCATAATGTCTGGAACTACATGACGACAAACATATTTGGACCACCTACATGTAAACTGTAGCATAGAACATGATAGTAATAGAATATGTCACCATGATATATGGCCCCTCAAAGAAGTCATATTATTTCATGTCATATGGACAATCAGAATCCATACAATGTTCATTCAGGAAAATTTTATCAGGTGATGCCATTTAAAATATGGTTAATTAGACAAATATCTCTAGTAAGGTTAGTGGGAGAGATATGGCTTTTTTTTCAAAAGTGCCAATTTATCAGCAGTCTTTCTATCTAGATACTATTATGTTAATCTGATCCAATCAAAAAAGAATTTCTTTACTTTAAAGTTTCATTAAATATTTGGTTTACCCTACTGTTATGAATTTCAGCAGGAAGATTCTATTCTAGAGGGCAAGCTTGTTGATTTTTCTCATTTGACTAAACAAATTAAAACAAGTGGTTCATTGAAATCTGATAGGATAATGTGGATAGATTGTAGAGAGGAATTTGTGTGTATCTACCCCAAGTATGGCAGCAAAGACAAATAATTCTTACTTAAATTATGTTAATTGATGACTACTGTAAATTCAGAAATTATTGCGTGCATTTATTATTGCGATTTTGTCATTTTAGACTAAAATGAGATTTTATTGTTGCAATATTGAGAAAAATCCTGTTTAATTCATATAAAAATTTCAAAGTGCAAGTTTAAATTATTGCGATTATAACCCTGTCACATTTTTCGCAATAATAAAAACCACACTATAATTTCTGAATTTATAGTATATATATATATAAGTGATACAGTATAAAAAAAAATATGTCCAATAAACTATTCTGCTCTTCTGTTATGATTAATGTATGATGACATTGATGATTATCTTCATATACGTCCTGCCAGCAAATTAGATCATTACTTCATAGTGCATTCTTTTACATGGTGTAGTCTCCTCTTTTTGATATTTTTATGTGCATTCTATAGAGTTCATTTCACCTATGAATGCAAACAAAATTAAGAAAAATGTTTCAAGTGTTTCAAATGAATGTTATTATCATGAAGTATGTTCTGCTTGATTTTCTCCCTGCCTTACTACTAGCCAAAATTTTGTTTAAGTTGTCTAAAAACATCAAATCGCTTAAATCGTTAAAGTATTGACATTTAAAATTGATAATTCATCTTCGTGTTTCTAGATTGGTAAATAAGCAAATATTGCTGTTACATGATGTACAAGTACTTTAATGTTGTCTCATTGGCAATCATACCACATCTCCTTATTTTTATATTGATATGATTTACCATCTTTTGCCAACTAATGGCTATTTCATGGTGGTCACTATTTATTTGTGGGCGAAGCTCAGAGAGAACCACCCACCTTCCACAGGAAAACTGACAATTCTAGTAAATTAAGATTGGAGTCCAACGCACCTGCTACCTGTGGGGTTCAAACTCATAACCTCAGTGTTGATAGGCTATTAATACAATAGTTGTACTTCTTAGACCACTCAGCAACCGAGGCCCTTCTGCCTTCTAAACAAACTGATCATCATAATATAGCTAGGAGTGCTGCAAGTTGCCAGCAATCAATCAATTAAACAATAAAAGTACATATGTGATAGTGATGAAAACAATATCTTAACTAATTGTTATCTGTATACTATGTTGTGGATCTGTTTTATAGAAGTGCTAAAAATCATCATTAAGTGCTATGAAATGTGAAGTATACTATTGTTATTCATTGCTTTTTTATTTTGCCTTTTTTTTTGACGAGGGCTTTATTGCCAGTCAAGATTGTTAAATACACCAATTATTTATTTGTTCAGTTCATAAAAAACTTTTTGTTTGTTTATTCTTATTTTGTCATTTAGGCCATATGGAAATATAGATTGTTTTGCATCGCTGCCAATTCACATGCTTTCTGCATGAAGTATATGCCATTTTGTTGAGCCTGCGAAATTTATTTCACAAAATTGAGACATAGCGATCCTAGATTCTATTGTTGGCGCCGTCAACATTTTGGTTCAGTCTGTGGTTAAAGTTTTTTTAGACATCAATAACTTTGTCAAACCTACATGGAATTTTATGAAATTTGGACAGAAGCTTGTTTTTGACCAAAATACAGTATCCAGAGCAAAATTATTAAAATATTTATTTTCATTTTTCCCTACTTTACTGATAAATGGACTTAGTTTTTTTACAATTTAACAAGTAGATACAGTCTGAGGTTAACTTTTTTCAGTCATCAATAACTTTGTCAAACCTTAATGGAATTTTAGGAAATTTGGACAGAAGCTTAGTTATGACCTAAATACAGTATTCAGAGCTTTTCCGTATTTAACTGATAAATGGACTTAGATTTTTTTACATTTAACAAATAGATTCAGTTTGGGGTTAAAGTTTGTTACACATCAATTACTTTATCAAACCTTCATAGAATTTTATGAAACTTTGGCAGAAGCTTTTTTATGATTAAGACATAATGTCTAAAACAAATCTTCAAGACCATAAAATAGCTTCCAAAGAAAAAGTTTGATTTTTTTTTTTAAATTCTGTGTTTAACTGAATAAGGGACTCACTTTTTAAGTCGACATTACACTTTTACACTGACAGCAGCAATCGCAGGCAAGACACATGGTTCCATGGAACCCCTTACAAATTTTTTTAATTGGTTACACATTATATTTTCGTTACACAGCATGTTCATGCATTCCATGTCTTTACATGCTATCACACACATTCTTGTACCTTATTGTACTGATACAGATTTTCAGTTGTTAGTTATTTACTTTCGGTTTGAAATACTCTTATCTTTTTCCTTTGATTGTTAATTATATTAAGGTATTGAATGGTTTCTGCTACAAAGTTAAAACATTTTTCCTTGCTGGAAAATGACTGTTGTTTGAAATAGATCGTTTTCCTTGTCCTCTAGCTTTATATACAGAAGAAGAGGTACTATTTTTCCTATCAACATGTAAGGGAATCAGAGTTTAATGTGGATAAAAGAAAGTGATCGTGTGCCAAACAATTTATAAGACTATTTATAGCATTGAGACACAATTTTCAAACTTTGTTGCAAAGCATAATTTTCCTAAGCAAATTGTTATCATAAAAATGTAAACAATACTATTTTTGTCATGAATAGGCATTAAGCTGTGATGTTTTGAATTAGCTATCAGAATTTGAATTGCAAGTTTTTATTTTTGTGAAACCTATGCTGTGGCTTTTTTCACAATTGTTTAAACAATGCAAAAATTTATAAACTTACTTTAATCCTTTTCATTGATCTCATGTAAATGTTTATTTTATCAAACATTTTTTGTATCTCATTATTTAGCATTCATCATTATATATGTGTTATATTGTAAAAGTAGTCATTGTCATGGTGCAGACATTTTTCTATTCTTAGTATATATAGTTGTGCAATCTGATAAGTGTTACAATGAGTGCTCTAGGAAAATTGATAATAATACAATTTTGTATAGTATATATAACCAGGATTATGAAGTGACGAACCAAAGGGGATTTATTTTTTCTTAGATTTTAAATTTGAATATTAATGTTTAATCCTTGCATATAAAGTTTGCAAGTAACCATGGAATCAACTGTAATAGTAAAAAGCTAAATATTTGCTATTTCAAAAACAATTATAATCAGTTTTGTGTTTCTTAGATTTTAAATTTAATTTTTTTTATGGATTTATATTTTTATTAAAAATTATCTACACACAAATTATCTACTGTTAGGATAAGGTATAAAAAGGCCACTTTTTTGTCCTTTTGTATTTGAAATCAATAACTATAAATGCATCAAATAACATCTTTTGTTAATATATTTTTAATTTTTCAGTGACCAAATAAAGACTCTTATCGTATATCCCACTTTTATTATTAAACAGAATATTTTATCATCCAAGTTTTTTTTTGTATAAATTCAAGATTCATGATAATACAGTGAAAAATTACTCTTTTTTTTATAACTAGCTTAATTAATTGTGTATTGACTAATATTTTTATAAACATTGTGATTTTGTGCTATTAGTATTATTTGTCTAAATGAAAGTTTTGTTGTACATGTGATCTGTATAATTTGATTTTAGTTTGTGTTATAGCTAGTCTTTATTTGTTTGTTTTTTTTCCCTTGTTTGATCGAATGTGAATAATATGTTCTGTAAAGATAATGCATTCCATTTGAAATAAATATTTTTAAAGAAAAATATTTACTGTTTGTGTCATACTTTTTTCCCAATAATCAAATATTTCTTTTCGAATGATTTAAAAACAAAATACGTCAGGAATTTTGCATGTATTTGCTTTGGTCACATGTAAGATCGTAGTACCAAAGCTGATATGATGTACAATACACACATGAAGTTAAAAAAAACTTGCTTTATTTTTTATTTTTTCAAAAGCAAATATTAGAAAATAAAAAAAACAAAACACAACAAAATTTCAAAAACAAATGTGGTAAGAACTCACAAATTCACACACCTGCTCCCCACATTTTCATAGATACATGTATGGCAAAAGTCAATATTGTGCTTTCTCAAAATATTCATTCAGATAAAAAAGAAAAAAAATAGTGCACAATGTCATTCAGTTAGAGAGAGTCTGTGAAAAATGTATATTTTGGTATGTATGGCCAATTCCTTGTTATTGCTTTGGAAAACCTAAAAAACAATTATAGTCTAAAGCTGAAATGAGAGGTGGACACAGGTTACTTAAGAAACTTTCCATTTAATTAGTCCCCTAGCGACGAAGTCGTAGGGGACTTTAGGTTTGCACTCCGTCCGTCTGTCCGTCTGTCCATCCGTCAGTCCGGCAAATCAGCTTTCCACACTTTTTTTCTTCGTTCTTGAAGATATTGATTTGATATTTGGTATATAGTTTTATCATGACAAGTTATAGATCAAGTTCGAATTTTGTTCTGGTCTGACAAACAAAAAGTTCAAAAAATTCTTCAAATAATTTAACAAAGAATCTTTTAAAAAATGAGTTATCTCCCTTTGTACAGAAATATGGTTTAACATAGTACTCTAACATTAGATATGGTCCAGAATTATGGTCCATAACTCTGGACCATATCTAATGTTAGAGTACTATGTTAAACCATATTTCTGTACAAAGGGAGATAACTCATTTTTTAAAAGACATTCTTTGTTAAATTATTTGAAGAATTTTTTGAACTTTTTGTTTGTTATCTAGTATAAACTAATTTTCTGAATGTTATATTTATAAAAAAAAATTATGAAGAGAAATCCTTTAATTAGATAATAATCTATTTTTATTAATGTATATATTTCAATACATAACATAATGCGAAATAAAAGTTGTTGACATTTTATAGATAAGTTACAAATCTATATTAGTTTGTGAAGAAAAAATATTTGGAACTATTAATTATATTTTATTATAATTTGAAAATAGATATACACTGTATTACATCATATCTAATTTTAGAGAACTATTAATCATATCTAATGTTTTTTTCACTCATATGTATAATCAGTTTTCCACACTGTTTTTAGTCATGCTTGAAGATATTGACATGATATTTACTTTTTGTTTACACCATGACAAGTTATTGAACAAGTTAGCATTTTGTTCCAGTAAAAAGAATTTTTACCCGGTAGGGGACTATGTATTGCCATGCAATACTCTCAAAATGCTTGTTTTTATTGAACTAGTCATTAGCTATAGAGGAGTTTGAGGTATAAAATATGGATGATGGAACAAAGGAATAAATAAATAGATGACCAACATACAAATAAACATAGCAGCTATCATGCACTAAATGCTTCTTTTAGCAGTGAAGGGGATAAAAAAAACACTTTTTAACTCAAAAGAACACTTAGCCATGATTCTGTGACACCGTGAATTTCATTTTAACTTGAGGGTTTCCTGAAAATGACTGATGGTGAAAAAATAGAAGTTTTTTCAAACCTGAGACTGCCATAAAAAGTAAAACAACAAAAATACCAAACTCCAAGGAAAATTCAAAACTGAAAATCCCTTAACAGTGTAATTAATTACCGACACTCATGCATACGACTTCTCATGTGTCTGCACAGATCTGAAAATGAAGAGAAGATACCAAGAGGCAATTAAAAACAAGAGGTTAAAGATAACAGACTAAAGCCCACAACAGTCCACCAAGTACATTACAGAAAACCTGGGACATAATATATTGACGTTAGTATAATAGTCCCAGAGAAAACTAAAGCCTGGACCAAACAAGCTCAAAGACCAGCAGTGACCTCAGGTGCCCCAGGAGGTTAGCATTTCCTTTGCCATTAGCGTTATAAAGGGGCGGAAGATACCAAAGACAAGCGCGGAAGATACCAAAGACAAGCGGTGACCTCAGGTGACCCAGGCGGTGAGTATTTCCTTTGCCATTAGTGTTATATAGGGGCGGAAAATACCAAAGACCAGCGGTGACCTCGGGTGCCCCAGGAGGTTAGTATTTCCTTTGCCATTAGTGTTATAAAGGGGCGGAAGATACAAAAGACCAGCGGTGACCTCAGGTGCCCCAGGCGGTGAGTATTTCATTTGCCATTAGTGTTATAAAGGGGCGGAAGATACCAAAGACCAGTGGTGACCTCAGGTGACCCAGGAGGTTAGTATTTCCTTTGCCATTAGTGTTATAAAGGGGCGGAAGATACCAAAGACCAGCGGTGACCTCAGGTGCCCCAGGCGGTGAGTATTTCCTTTGCCATTAGTGTTATAAAGGGGCGGAAGATACCAAAGACCAGCGGTGACCTCAGGTGCCCCAGGCGGTGAGTATTTCCTTTGCCATTAGTGTTATAAAAGGGCGGAAGATACCAAAGACCAGCGGTGACCTCAGGTGCCACAGGAGGTGAGTTTTTCCTTTGCCATTAGTGTTATAAAGGGGCGAAAGATACCAAAGACCAGTGGTGACCTCAGGTGACCCAGGAGGTTAGTATTTCCTTTGCCATTAGTGTTATAAAGGGGCGGAAGATACCAAAGACCAGTGGTGACCTCAGTTGACCCAGGAGGTTAGTATTTCCTTTGCCATTAGTGTTATAAAGGGGCGGAAGATACCAAAGACCAGTGGTGACCTCAGGTGACCCAGGAGGTTAGTATTTTCTTTGCCATTAGTGTTATAAAGGGGTGGAAGATACCAAAGGAATAATCAAGCTCAAAAGTCAAAGAGAGACAGACATAATCATTGCTAAAAACGAAAACTAGACAAAAAGTAAAATCACAAAAATAAACTCCGAGGAAAATTTATAAAGGAAAGTCCCCAATCAAAAGCAACAGTCAACACTACATAAATAACTAAAGACTGAGCAACATGAACCCAACCAAAAACCTTGAAGATATCATGTTCCCCAGAAGGGTAATCATATCACATATGGCACCCGTCATCTTGCTCATTGTAAAAAGTATTAATAAAAATACTGAACTCTAAGGTAAATTCAAACAGGGGAAATCCATAAAACCTGACAAAATCAAAAGGTAGACTATATCTATAAACGGAACTAATGGAAAACAATCGTCATATTACTGATTTGGAAAAATCTGGTGTTAAGTTTTATCAAATGATGTCACAATCGAGAAAAAGAGGACAGATTTTTATAGTATTACTGGCTGGTTTTGAAAATGGCTATTGTTATCTTATAGTTCGCTTCTGTGTGTGTTGCATTTTAGTGTTTCTGTTGTGTCTTCGTTCTCCTCTTATATTTGATGTGTTTCCCTCAGTTTTAGTTAGTAACACGGATTTGTTTTTTCTCAATCGATTTATGAATTTCGAACAGCGGTATACTACTGTTGCCTTTATTGGACAAAGTCCATTACCAGCATATAGTATTGTGATTTCAGGTGGGTAAAAGTAAATACCTAATTAGTGTAATCAACTCCTTCTACAATTTTCAACCCATATCACTAAAACTTCATAGAAGTATTGCACACATGTTGTGATTCTATCTGCTACTATCATTTGGTTTTTGGATTTTTTTCCATATTTCCCAACATGGGAACTTTTTTTTAGTAAAGTTACAAAATACAGTACCAATTTTGAGTAACCAACTTCTACTGACAACCCAGATTCTTGAAACTTCACAGAATGTTTTCACATGTATTTCATTTGTGCACCTGCTATTATGGAATTGTTTGAGGAGTGTTTTCCTTTTTACCAGACTTCGAAATTTAGTCATTTCTTCTGTAAAATTTTCAAAACATGCTAACAATTCTTGTTTTAAGCAGATCTTTAGAACTTCACATAAAGTGTGAAAAACTTTCCTTTTTTTACCATTATATGTTTCTAATATTTAAATGTTTAGTAACGACTATTCTCCTTTGATTAAGAAACATTCTGTGCAACCCCACCATTTGAGTCTTTGATCCATTTGTATTAGCTTATCTGGCCGAAAGTTTACTATAAGAAAGGAAATTTTCAGACGAATTGTACGATCAATTTAGAGTTATTGCCCCTGAAATAATGATTTTTTTTTATGAAATTTCTCAGTGTTTGGTTGTTATCTTGAATACCATTAAAGAGAAAGAGAAATTTTAACCAGCAAAAATGTTTAGCAAAGTAAGATCTACCAATAAGTCGAAGAACGGAATTCTTCAATTGATCCCTTATATGAGTTATTGCCCTAGAACTAATATTTTTATTTAACTTATAAGTTTTTTTTTAGTTTCAGAAACTATGATAGATAAACAGAATCTTCAAACAGCGAAAATCGATAGCAAAGTAAGACCTAAATATGAGTCAAACATGACCGAAATTGGAAATTGATGTCTTATAGGAGTTATTTCCCTTGAAAGACTATTTTTTATTTTTATTTGTCATAAACTATAGATAGACAGACAGACACTGCACATATCAAAAATGTTCATCAAAGTAAGACTTACAAATAAGTCAAACATTACTGAAACTGCCAATTGATCCCTTATCGGAGGTATTACCTTTGAAAGACTTTTTATTATTTTTTTAAGGTTTTTTTTATATACATTAATAATACATGTAGATAGACAGAAACTTATTACAAGAAAAATGTTCAGAAAAATAAGACCTACAAATAAGTCAAGTTGACCAAAAGTGTCAATTATTTTTTTTATAGAGGAGTTATGCCCATGAAATTTTTTAGCAATTGGTTTTAGTTTTTTGCACAATCTAATTAAAATATAGATCTCGGATTGCGTTATACTACGTATGTATTTTAATTAGATTGTTTTTTGCAGAAACTATGATAGATTGAGATAATTTTAAAGGCATGTTTTAACATGCATTAATATACATTAAACAGCAAAATAATCATTAATGCAAGATCTACAAAAACAATTTCAGACGAGCGATTCATGCTCTTATGAGCCTCTTGTAATTAAAATCCTTGACTAGCAGCTACTGTTGTTTGCTTATGACAAGTAAACATTCGATGCCAAATTGATGACAAGTCGCATTCAGTGATGTAACAATTGACGGAAAGAGCTAACATTATATCTGATCCAACATGTAAATGTGGTTTGGATATTGAGGACTTGCACCATTTTTTCTTTGAATGTCCTTTCTATCTAAATGAAAGGGCTATTCTTTTTAATGGTCTCAGCTGGCTTCCCGAAGGCTGCGAGTTGGACTTAAAACTATTGGTTTTTGGAAAAGAAATTCTTTCCTATGATCAAAATGTGCAAATTGTTAAACAAGAATTCAATTTTATAAAGAGATCAAAACGATTCCTCGTAGTATAGTATCAACATAGGTAAAACGCACATCATCATCCTAATCTCTGTCGTTCTTTCCTCATTCTCTCTCCTTTTTTCAGTATAGTTTAGTAATATTTATGTTGTTTATATTATATGATGCATGCTCACGTTCAATTTGTATTGTTATATATATTGTATTGTGGAGAAGACTTTATAAGTATGTTTTACTTGTGTCTGATCCTTTTTAGCTTTGAGCAAATAAAATATATTTAAACTAAACTAAACGGAAAGAGTGCAGGAGTGTAGCCTCGACAAGTGAATCATATCTGTGATCATGGGTGAGACAGATATCATCGATGCCATTTGAAACTTTTAGTTCATTAGTTCCTTGTAAGCAGCAACAGCTTTGCACGGAAATCTTAACATGAAATACAAGCCCTAGAATATAGTATCAATTGGGAGATATACACCATAAAATAGGCGCTGCTTAAAGTGTTGCTTCTCAGAAAGGAATTCTAGGTTCTATGAATGTAAAGAGTGTGATGCTTAATTCAGCAGAAAGAGGCCGAACAAGGTACACACGTTACTTTAAAGAAGCTTTTTACCTTGTTGCTTCTGATATTATATAAATTTATCGACAGGTTTGAAACAGTTAATAAATAATTGAGGTGACCTATTGCATTTACAATATGACGCTCAAAACATTGGATGAATTTTCTACAGATCTTGAATCAGTGCTTATTTTTTTCTTAACCATTTTGAGGCAAAGGAAAAAATAAAAAGCTTCAGTACAGTAATTGCTAATAGATATCAATAAATACCTTTTTTATGTAACATATGCGTATTAACGAATTCAATTAAATAACATTCAAGTTTTAATTTCTTGGTAGCAGCTGATGTTATTGATAGATTTTGTTGATATTGAATCATAACGAATCAAATATGATACCTTCTGACTGTTGACTGCATGTAGAATTTTCACCATCTTATTTGACACCGTAAACCTATTTTAAAAAAATGCGTAAATACATCCTCACAAAGGACAATTTTGTGTTGTCTTTGTTATAAAGGAATGTGTAAAACTATTAATGTACATCAATTTATAGATTCTATTTCATAATTTAATTATGACCATATACTTTATTTCAACAATTTGCTTATGACAATTATTAAATTTTGATGGCTAAAAAGAAAAGTGTAACATAAATCCTGTAGAAATCAATATAAAAATCGACCATTATATTTTTTTTATAATTTTATTTTTTTATTTTTTGAGTTGTCTCATCGACATATCTCTATTCTATGATTTATTTTCTTTCTCGAAAATCTGTATGTTTCCTCTTGTAAATTTAGTATGTGTGTTTTGTGTACTTCGGATTTTCGTATTTTCGTGGGTAAAAATTTTCGTGGATTGGAAAAAAACTTGCATTTTTGTGAATATTTTTGGTTTTGCCAAAATATAAATACAACCTTATAAAATATGTAGTTCATTGAATATTTAAATTTATAGTTCACCTGTACCCACAAAATCCACGATTATTGGTGTCCAACAACTTATAATGAATCTGCATTAGTGAATACAATAGATATTAGAAGGTGTGGTATGAGTGCCAATGAGAAACTCTCCATCCAAGTCAAAATTTGTAAAAGTAAACCATTATAGGTCAAAGTACGGCCTTCAACACGGAGCCTTGGCTCACACCGAACAGCAAGCTATAAAGGGCCCCAAAAATGACTAGTGTAAAACCATTCAAACAGGAAAACCAACGATCTAATCTATATAAAAACGAGAAACGAGAAACACTTATGAATCACATCAACAAACGACAACCACTGCACATCAGGTTCCTGACTTAGGACAGGTGCAAACAAATGCAGCGGGTTTAAACGTTTTAAAAGGCGCCAACCTTCACCCTACCCAATAGTGTAACATCACAACATAGAAAGATATACTACACGTACTTAGTAAGACTTTACACAAATGGGTAAAGTTATACTATGTTTATCTATTCAAAAAATAAAAGTTGGTAAACACCTTGATATAAGCATATAAAAACTACAGGAGCGTTTGTGCACTAAAATCAGTATATCATTTAATACACAAGGAAGGGGTGATTTAAATAACATTAAAATTACAGCACCACAATAATTATAACAGCTTCTAAATGACAGAATAGGACACACACTTAGTCAATATGCTGCTGTAATGTCACCATTCTTCTGATGTTTGATCTTTGGAGTTTTAAGTATGTTATCGATTTGTCATTATTTTCTTTTTATTCATTTCCAGTCATGGAGTTTATTGGTGTAGTGTGTATTTGTGACTTTCCACCTCATTCTTATGCTACTAGATCATACCATAGCTGTTGGGGTGTGGTGCTTTGACTCCAGTTTTAGGTTAATACTTAGGATTCTTCCTCTCCGGATGATTGGTGACTAGGGTCATTTTTAGAGAAATTTTAAACAGCAAAAATGTACAAAATTATAAGCCTGATATCTTTAGAGTTTTTTTTATATAAAAGTTGTTCAGCAACAACAGAACATATTTCCTACTTTTTTAATTCTTTTTTTAAAAATTTGATACTTTATTATTTATTGAATTATTAATCTCATTTTGTGTGTGGGAGTAAACATAATATAACCTTATGGTATCACCACAGCCCAGTAGCCAGTATTTCGAAATGTGCTGTTATAAAATTTTGAAATCATCTTAAAGGTTAAAAAAAGATATATTTCTCTCATGCAAAGTTGTGATTCTTTGTTTAGATTTGGCTACACTTTATGTCCTTTTTTTGGTTTGATTAACTTTTCAATGTTTATATAAGTATTGGTTTTCTAAATTTTTGGTCTCGAGCATCACTGAAGACATATTTATTGTCGAAATGCGACATATGCTATAGTATAACTGGTAACGTTTATGTTATTTTATTAGCTCTTTTCCTTATATAAGTTTTTGTTTAATATATTTGATACTTATTATATTTCGTATACCAGATTAATTAAATGCAGCTACATATTGTAATTTACCTGTGTATTAATTAAGTTTAAATTGCTTAAACAACAAATCTTATAACATCAGCCATTGTTCTCTGTTTGTGGGTATAGAATGAATATGTTATGTTATTATGTTTGAATAGCAGAAAAAAACCGTTATGCGTCCTGCCTATGCAAGGTAAAGACACGATCAATTTAAACCGTCAAAATAATGGCTTACGTATACCAGATATATCACGTTTGATATATAATTATATAGATTGAGTTTTTTTAGATCAAGCCATTGATTTTTTTAAAGATTGCACAGGTATTGCGCTTCTATAATTTATGGCCACATCTCGTTTATTGTTATATTACCTTGGCTTGCTACAGGTAAGTGTATTTTTAGTTTATGTACGTATACTTTTGTCAAGTTGCCACCGACCTATAAGAATATATATCGACTATCGAACAATTTTTTACTTTCTCAAATAATCAAGAAATGGTAAATGGTGTTTGTCTGCTATATCAAGAAGTTGCATCGTTCAGTAAACATGGTAAAGATCGGTGTGTAATAACGACATACCTGGTGTAATACGATAACGGGTATGTGGGAAAACTCAAATAATAATGTCTGTCACTTTAGTACTAAAATGTATTTCACAAGAACTGCTGGGTTGTAGGTAATGCATTTTGTATTTTGGCAACTTATGAAGGTAACAATATGGTTATTGTAATCCCCTCACAATTTCTAAACTAAATCTGAGATTGACTTATTCCCGCTGATTTTCTTGCTTTAATGGCTTACTTTGTTAATTACTGCACTTTTTCTCTGTGACTTAGTTGACAGAAGCTATGTGTGGACAGGATCTGCACAGACTCCGCTCTCCTCCTTAATGATACAAAAAAGAAGACTTCCTGGAATTTCAAAAAATATCCAACAGAACTGTGTACAGACCACACTAATACCTACACCAGACCCCTCCAAAGACATAGAAACAAAAAACAAAGAGCACTCGTAAAATACTAGTAGTTAATTCAATTATTTTCATATAGAAATAAGAAGATGTGGTATGAGTGCCAATGAGACAACTCTCCATCCAAGTCACAATGTGTAAAAAGTAAACAATTATAGGTCAAAGTATGGCCTTCAACACGGAGCCTTGGCTCACACCGAACAGCAAGCTATAAAGGGCCCCAAAATGACTAGTGTTTAACAATTCAAACAGGAAAACCAACGGTCTAAACTATATAAAAAACAAGAAACGAGAAGGACTTATAAACCACATCAACAAACAACAGGTTCCTGACTTACAAAATAGTAAGATCTTTTTAGTAGCTAGGTGTTAGAAAACTTACAAAAACCGAGTTTTATTTGTAGTATTAGTCTCAATGCATATAGGAGGGACATTGAACATGTTCAGAGGACACCTTTAGCTGAGATATGGTATTGATATGATTGTCTGTTTTTTCACGCTCTGTGGAGCGCTCGATGTCTTGGGTGCGTCGACTGGACTACAAGCTCATGGTTGGGTTAAAGATCGAAGTTGCATTTGTTGATTACGGTTTATACGTGTACTATGAGATCTAAGATTACGTTGTCCATTATCACGTTTGAATAATCCTCACTCTTCAGATTACACACAATTGTTAAAAAGAATTAATTGATCTATTTAAAACAGAAACGGAAGATACCAAAGAGATGTTCAAACTCATTAGTCGAAAACAAACTGACAATACCATGGCAAAAAATCGAAAAAAGACGAAAACACAAACAACGGTACACAAATCACAACATAGGAAACTAAAGACTGAGCAACACGAACTTTACAAAAAACCGGGGGTGATCTCAGGTGCTCCGAAAGGTTAAGCAGATCCTGCTCCACATGTGCCCGTAAAATTTTCGAAGGGTTGATTTTAACTTCACCATGTCCACCACTTGGAACTCTTGGTTCAATAGCTTCGCTGTAAGCAGTTAACATTTATCAAGAAAATCATGATAAGAAATACAAGCTCTGGAATATTGTATCAACTGGGATATACCTACTACATGCTGGTGCTGCTGGGATGTTGCTACATAGAAATGGAAAGTTCATAATTGGGAAGCTCAAATCATCTCTTTTGTTCATTGTCTATTTCTAGACGTAAGTCAAGAAATGAGGCAGTCTTAATTAACTGTATCTGTTGTATCCTTCATTTCAAGTTCAATGGGATAGATGCGTTCAACATGCATGAAGTCAACAACACAAATATAAATACACAGATGCTGACGTGTAATCGTAAAACAACAATGTTTCTAGGTCTGTTTTTTATTTGATTGTCCCCTTGGTGTCTTCTCTCTCTATTTACACAAAAACTTTAAACAGACGAACGGACCGGAAAACATTAATCAACTAATATCATAGGGAGGACATAATAATAGTGAGAGTATTAATAATACCACTCAAAAATATCAATTGAACATTCGAACGATTTTTGGGTCATTTTCATTATTATTGTTATTTCATTATTAGGAGTATAGAGGCAGTAGTTATCAAGTTGACATCCAAGGTCATAAATTGAAGATAATTTTAAAGCGTAATGACAAAAAAAAACGAAAGATAAATAAGTCCATAAAGAAATTAAGGTTCCAACTCTCTCAGTTAGGGTTGACCTTACATGAATTTGACTGTTCGTTTTACGTCCCTCTTGCGCATATGGCGCATAACGTTTCTACGTATCTGTACATCCCTATGTTGTGTATCGTATCTATACATCCCTATGTTACGTATCTATACATCCCTATGTTGCGTATCTATACATTCCTATGTTACGTATCTATACATCCCTATGTTACGTATCTATACACCCCTATGTTGCGTATCTATACATCCCTATGTTACGTATCTATACATTTCTATGTTATGTATATATGCATCCCTATGTAACGTATCCATACATCCCTATGTTGCGTATCTATACATCCCTATGTTACGTATCTATACCATACATCCGTATGTTGCGTATATATACATCCCTATGTTGCGTATCTATACATCCCTATGCTGCGTATTTATACATCCCTATGTTGCAAATGTTTTGAAATGAAAAAAACTCATCAAAGACATCAGGCTTACAATTTTGTACGTGAGACGCGCGTTTCGTCTACAAAAGATTCATCATTGACGCTCGAATCAAAAAGAGTTTCTGATGAAGGTAAATCAGGAAAAATGCTTCGAACGCACACAATCTATTAAGTGTTCTTTTCATTTTCAGAGTTTTCTTAACAACTTCAATAAATAACATAAGTGATGGTAGACAGATCAATACATAATCCTCAAGGTAAACAAGTATATTAACAACTTCAATAAATAACATAAGTGATGGTAGACAGATCAATACATAATCCTCAAGGTAAACAAGTATATTAACAACTTCAATAAAATAACATAAGTGATGGTAGACAGATCAATACATAATCCTCAAGGTAAACAAGTATATTAACAACTTCAATAAAATAACATAAGTGATGGTAGACAGATCAATACATAATCCTCAAGGTAAACAAGTATATTAACAACTTCAATAGAATAACATAAGTGATGGTAGACAGATCAATACATAACCCTCAAGGTAAACAAGTATATTAACAACTTTAATAAAATAACATAAGTGATGGTAGACAGATCAATACATAATCCTCAAGGTTAACAAGTATATTAATAATTCAATACACTTATATTGATAAATTTTTAATTAAATTCTTGACAGCAAGCTAAACATACGGTGACCAAAGATAGACAACTATGCATACTATAATAAAAAATTTAAAAAAAATAGGAAAAGGAACCAGGGAGTATTCAAAAATAATAAGTCCAATAAAAAAATAGATAACACGTCCCCTCCTCATTTAAGCAAAAAACTCTTTTTTTGGATATCAAATCATTTTATTCCTGTTGGTTTCTAACGTACCTATTAAAAGTTGTTTCAGAGAAACATCAATTCCGTTTATATAATGATAACTTTAACAATCGATTCCCAAAGCTTACAACTAACCAGACGCCACATTTTGACTGTAAAAGGGAAGGTATCAGAAGATCACTTTTAGAACCTTTAAGTAAAAAAATATCCGAAAGTATTAGATATCTAGCCATTAACGTCATATAGATGGTCATAAGATATTAATCTGTGAGATATTCGTATTTATATTTTTCATTGTGTCTGACGCCAGTAAGGTCTAGATAAGGCACCTGTTGATATAGCACCATCAGATGGCGATATGGTACCTTCGATAGTAAATTTCATTTGCCTCCGTTTGTACAGAAGCTTCTGTTTTCAGAGACAATTTGAAGTATGGGATTGCTATAAATAATCATTACTGTTTTATTATGGACAAGATGTGCACTTCCACAACCATTGTTAAATTACATATACATCCACAAATGTATTTTTCATACAAAGATCTAATATACATTTTTTTCTTCTCGTTTTAACCTAATTTAAAATGCTTTGTCAGGATTTATTTGAATACATATTTTCAAAATGTGAGTTTTTTTCATTGGCTTTATAGTATCTCCTTTAGATTTAAGTATTATGTAAACTATAAGCTAAAAGACTAAAATGTGAATTTCGTTCTCAATATATTTTATAGTTAGACAAATAATGATGCCTTATATGCCATATGCATGAATGAAGGTCTGGGTGTTTATATAATAGAGAATAATGGACAAAGACCAAAGAATGGACAAAAAAATTGGATAAAAATAGAGAATAATGGGGTGCTAAAATATAAATAACATATAAAATAAAATAATGAGGTGCTAAAATACAAAGAGGATATGAAATAATGGGGTGCTAAAATATAAAGAACATATAAAATAATGGGGTGCTAAAATATAACGAACATATAAAATAATGGGGTGCTAAAATATAAAGAACATATAAAATAATGGGGTGCTAAAATATAACGAACATATAAAATAATGGGGTGCTAAAATATAACGAACATATAAAATAATGGGGTGCTAAAATATAACGAATATATGAAATAATGGGGTGCAAAATAATAGGATCCTAAAATATAAAGAACATATAAAATAATGGGGTGCTAAAATATAACGAACATATAAAATAATGGGGTGCTAAAATATAAAGAACATATAAAATAATGGGGTGCTAAAATATAACGAACATATAAAATAATGGGGTGCTAAAATATAACGAACATATAAAATAATGGGGTGCTAAAATATAACGAATATATGAAATAATGGGGTGCAAAATAATAGGATCCTAAAATATAACGAACATATAAAATTATGGGGTGCTAAAATATAACGAACATATAAAATAATATGGTGCTAAAATATAACGAATATATGAAATAATGGGGTGCAAAATAATAGGATCCTAAAATATAAAGAACATATAAAATAATGGGGTGCTACAATACAAGTGATTGGTGTTTGCTTTACCATGTTTAGTAAGCATCGGCACAAAAAGGCTATATCTCGGCGATGCTAACATACAAAGAATAGAAACTAATGGAAAATATGAAAAGAAAAAAATAACCTTAAAGGGGCACTAGCTGTCAAAATCATGTTCACCGATTTGACTCAAATTCTCATATTTGATTTATAACAATGTAAAACATTTATCCAAATTATAAAAAGTCTAAAATAAACAATTTACAGGGCATGGCCTCGAGAATGTGTAGCTTCGTTTCGTGTGTATTTTAGTCTAGGCGCCATCTAATTAACTATCGAGTTGACCTCCGAACACATCCGATGGCCATATAAGCGATATAAACATAAATATAGATATAAATAGATATTGAAACTCGTGCAATTGGATTTTTCTAGGTCTTTTTAATTTCATATTATAGATTAAAAATAAATGTTAATCATCTTTTTAACCTGTATAAGAATGATTGTTGTGGATCGAATCAGTCAATCAAATGATTTACCTTTGTTTCACTTTCAATGTTGACATTCTTTTCCTTTTTTCCTTTAAATAACTCAACACGCACTATGCATGCATTATCTATTTCTAGCCAAGGGGTTAAATTGAAGTTCACACCAATACGGATTCAATGGGGTAGAATTATTCACTTGCAAGTGAATAATTCATCATCAATGTTTTTTAGCTTATTTTGACAAAATTGAACCATACTGGCTGCTAAAAGCGAATTATTATTTCACTCTTCTAATTTCATTAATGTTTGAACAAAAGAAATCATATTTTAGATTTTTATATATCTCGTAGCTAGTGCCCCTTTAATGAATTAAAGATTATCAAAAAATGATTGATTAATTGATTGATTGATGCCACTTTAGTTTTTTTATGGAGGAAACCGGAGTGCCCGGAGAAAACACAGACCCGAACAGGACTGAGATAAACTGACAATCCTAGTCAATTAAAATTGAAGTCGAACGCACCTCCACTCGAACTCACAACTTCAGGCGTGGCTAGTGATAACTGTCAATGAATTACCTAGACCACTTGACCACAGAAGCCCTACAAATTTGGAGAATACACCCCCATAATGGAGGAAATGAATGATATGCTGTATATATATATAACTACAAGTCTTTTTTTTTATAGTACTTCCATAACTTGTGGATAAACCAACCGACACAAAGTATTGTTATGAACTTCAAAGGCTTTTCTCATATAATTATGAATTTGTTTGGCATTAGACAAAATTATTTGGATTAAGTATAAGAGAGGCGAAAAATACCAAAAAGGAACAACAGACAATAAACAGAAAACAAAACACAACATAGAAATATTTTATAGGGGGGGGGGGTCAAGAGGGGGTCCATTAACAGGTTAACAAGTTTTTCATTTTGCTCAAACAGATAGCAGTAAGTTTAAAATACTGAAAACAGCAATTCAAACGAACTTAAATGAGAAAACAGAGAAAACAGTTCAAAAATCAAAAAATATCTAACAGGGGTATTTTTTTTTCTCATAACAGTTAACAACAATGTCAATGTTAAAAAAAAAGCTATAACAGCTAATTAGTCAATAACAGTTAACATCACATATATTTTCAAAATAACAGTTAACAAAATTTTAAAAATAACTTAACACCTTAACAGAAAAGAAATTGCCTCTACCCACAATCATTCATGATTTGATAACACCATCTTTAATCAAATTTATGAAAATACTAAACTTTTCTCGAAGATTTTTATATAGGGGACAATATGAAAGGAAGTGCACTTCATCTTCTACTTTATCTCCGCAAGATTTTCAGAATCTTTCCGTTGCTCAAGGTTTTGGTTTACTGTATCTCCCAGTTTCAATGGCAAGTGAATGTGCACTTATTCTAATTTTTGTGAGAAGTGATCTCTTACATGTTGGTATATCAAAGCTTAGGTAAGGTTTAAACTCAAATGATGAACAATGGCAAGTGAATGTGCACTTATTCTAATTTTTGTGAGAAGTGATCTCTCATATGTTGGTATATCAAAGCTTAGGTAAGGTTTTAACTCAAATGATGAACGATTTTAATATAAATTCTGAGTATACATGTGTTATAAGATTTAATATGCTCAAGTTGATTTAATATTTTGCATTCATAAAAGTGTTTTAGTGAATCCTCAAACGCAGTCTATGATTATAACCTATACAATAAATATTTCTTTTGTTTTAAGTGTTTGAATTGCGTTTTCTATGTACAAGGACCTGTATTTTCATAGCACGCTGAAATTAAAATCTGAACTGAAAAATTTCTCAACAAAAAACTATCAAAGATCACTAGTGGTGTTTACACACACGGATGAACAATTTATATCCTTCGTTTTAATAATAATGTTTAAAGATGCAAAACAATATGTCAATGCTGTGAAATCTATTGTTATATACTGTGAAGAGCTAGGAGTTTGAATATACCTCAACAACATTGGTCGTTTTTTCGGCGTTAAACATTTGCTCACTATACCTATGACACTAGTAATAAATATACTGCTTACCACAATTGGCAAACACAATAGATTTATCCATACGAAAAAAAGAGCCACTGTCAAAATTCAAATCAAAATCGGGGGAAAAAAATGTTGGATTTAAAGAATGCCTCTCTATAGCATGCAATATAATAATAATATAATGTTTATTGCCTAATACCAAATTTGTTTGCGACATTGTAAAAGCGATGTTGGTTTATTGGTTTCAAAAATGAAAACTTTTTATTTGTGTGCAATTTTTTTAAAAGAAAATTAGAATAACATGTATAGTCAGGAGTGAAACCATGTGTATAAACTGTAAAATCACTTTAAAAAGGTCAGTTGTACAACCCTACAACCTTTCAACGCAACCTTTTAGCATTTATATGTCTGTATTATCTCGACAGGTCAATACTTGATACATTTGTCTGAAAAAATTATAGGTACCTATATACAAGGGATCATTTTCCAAATAACTTGTAGAGAAAAATGTCTCTTTGAACGTTAAAATGCAAATGATAAGTTGGTCGTATACGTAGCCCATACTTTAGTGTTGAAAGTAGGATAGTTGAAAAACTGAAACGTTGATGAACAATATTTTATCTTTCTTCGGAGATATCCTTCCCCCATTGAAAGCTTATCTTTGTAGACGATGGTTGAACCGACGGTAGTGTTACTGCATGAAATATTTCTTTGTGTTTATTATTGATATTCACGTTTTTCTATGTTATACATATATTCATATCATATTTCAGATGTCATATTCATTATCATATCACATTGACGCTTGATGAATGACAAATCCAAATCAAGCACACCTTCTTACCAGCATGCTTTCTAGTTACCGCCAAAGAATCCATTCTTACCTGTAATATCTTTTCATACCTGTGGATGTGTTGCGCCATTAGCTATATATTTACAGGTTTGTTATTTCTATTTCTTAGTTTTAAGGTTCGGTTCTAATATTTTTGTTTATAACTGGTTTTTTTTCTTTGAATACTATTGTTCAATGGTATATTTATACTTGTTGTAACTATCATTGTATATATATTTACAGAATAAATATATGAGGGCACTTACGAATTTATATAGCCATATGGGAAAAATACACGACGACAGGAGGAGGTAAACTAAGTATATTGCTGTAGAAAGAAAGTTTGTAACCCACGAAAACTAATTCCACAATAACACCATATGTGTTCATTTATATTTGTACATCAATGCAATGACATATCTATAGAAAAGGTCTTTACATCTTTCGATTTTGTTAGGTTTTCTCCAACGTTGAATGTTTACACTCAATATATATAACACGTTAAGTATAAGGAGAATATAGATATTTGTTAAAGTATTGTATTCATTATCAGCATGATATGAGGAAAAAACATTATACCAGTCTCAAATTTAAACATCTTAAGGTGTTATGTTTTTGGATAAATGCGAAGAAAGATGTGCAGTGTAAAAATGTGATACGATTATAGTGGTATAAATACAGTTCCAATGTGGTGAACAATCGAGTCATGATGAGTCGCACGTTTTAAAATTATATAGATAATAAGAATAATTGTTCTTAAAAGGTTGAATAATTGTTAGGATACACCAAATAGATATTAGTTTTCAGCGGCAAATATTACAAAGTAAACATCTTCAAAATTGTATTAAACTTGAGATACATTGAGGAACACTCGCCAAAAAAATTTACCGGAAAAATAAATAGCACACACTATTGTTCCAGTCCAAAGTTAGGAGCCTGTAATTCAGTGGTTGTCGTTAGTTCATATTTTTTTTTCATAAATTGTACTGTTATAAACTATGCCGTTAGTTTTCATGTTAGAATTGTATCACATTTTTCAAGTCGGGGCCTTCTTTAGCTGACTATACGGAGTGGACTTTTCTCATTGTTTTGTCAGTTTTTCTGCGACTAATAGTCTTTGAATTACCGCATAGTATCTATCCATTTTTTTAACCGGATTTCCGAAGGAAAATGTCGGTTATTAATTTGGTGATGTATGGCGGGCGATAATTTGAAAACGCTTTGCCGAAATCTTTTCAAATTTCATTTATTCATTTATTTTCGTGGTTTCCAATTTTCTTGGATTAAGGAAAACTTGCATGTCCGTGGATATTCAATTTCGTGGTTTTGTCGAAGTCTGCATACAATCCTATAGAAAATAAGTCATTCGTTGAACATTTGATTTCGTGGTTCACTTGTACCCACGAAATCCACGAAATATGGTATCCAACCAATAATAATGAATCCACAGTATGTTGTTTTCTGTGACTAAATGAAGGTCAAGTTCGATTTTCACGATTTTAGCTTTTATCGTTGTTGAGTTGTAGACCTTTCAGTAGCGAAAAGTGATATTTAGAGCGTTGTCCGTGTAATGACTTAAAAACGCTTTGACGAAATCTTTTCAAATTTATATTATTTGCGTTAACCCTAAAATTGACTCAGGAATAGAAACGTGGTCACTATTGGTCTTCTTCTGACCGGCAGTAAAACTCTTGCCAAAATGGGGCGTCCGTTTGGTCGTGAGTATGGGATGTATAAATGCGCAGCAACGTCTGATAAGAAAGGTGGCTAAATTTCTGTTTCTATCCCATTTATCCCCATTTTCTAGTGACAATTTAAATTTCTCGCCATCCATTCGGATTAATTAAGGACCTTCCTGTTTTATTCATGCATGAAATATTTGACACTGGACGTAAAACAAACACCGATCAAGCAATCTATCATTTTGTATTACTCCTATTATCAGTGTTGTAATAATGGTTCCTCTATCAAAATATATGTAATGAAAATAAGTAGTAATTGTATGTATCAAATTATAAATATACTTATACTACTTATACTATGATGCCATTAAATGTAAACGGTTATCGTATATTTATCATGATCACCATAAACGTGGTCTACTTGCGGAATGACAACCCCCCCCCCCCCCCCCCTCACTTTCCTAAATTTATGAAAACTATCGTTTTGCATTTATTATAAAATCATTCTGTAAATGTATTAGTAGTTGTATGATTAACTTCTTTTAGTGCTCTTGAAACAATATTAATCAAAATTCCTGCTATAAGTTCAACTTTAGTTATTTCATTTTACTTTGTATTACTAATAGATTATTGTTTTCTCATTGTAAACTACAAAAAAAAGACAAAACTTTAAACAGTGTATTCAAAGTTTTATAAAGCATTTAAATTATACTTTTCGGTGATCTTAAATAATTAATGCTATAGTTTCTTGTTGTTATTTATCTTAATTTAATCAGAGACATATATGTGTATATATGTCTCTGATTTAATTAATAAAGCTAACATGACATTAATTTTCAATTTAGATTGGTTAACGTACAAAGGGAAGCAACTTTAGTCGTACTACATAGGGCCAATATTGGCAGGTTAATGAGTTGGTGATCTAGACCCATCTCTCTGACGTATTGCTTTAGGGCTAAAAATGTTTTGCATTTAAACAAAAAAACTACAAAACCTGTCCAACTTAATGTTGAAAGGATAATATTTAAATATTCGTTTAACTTAAGGGAACGAAAAAAATAGTTCTTATTATATTTTCTCTTCCCTGTTATTGACTATTCGATTGTGCAAAAGACCCTCAAGCGAAGTAGGCCTAGCTCAGTTTTTGACTGTTCTGTTTCGGCTCTATTGGGTTTTTTTTACGTTTATTTTTTTAAATAATGTTTTTAAATTTACAAAATTTACAGCTTGATAGATATAAGAAGATGTGGTATGAGTGCCAATGAGACAACTCTCCATAGTTTATATGGTACCTGTTAAAGTTAATATCAAAGATGTGTGTACTGCGCACGGAATTTGATGGATAGTTGTCTCTTTGGAAATCATCACTGCTTATTTCCACACCATAGTTATATATACTAAGATAGTATATAATGCTATTTTATAGTTATTTCATCAATTGTAACCCCTCAAAACATGATATCTTTAAAAACTAATAACGGACAAGCCAACATTTCTCTTCATATTTTATGAGCTACGTGTAAATACACTGTTGATTATCGTTTATTTTTTCATACCTGTAATAATGATATCACGATTGAACAGAAGCGTATGTAAACTTTTCTTTTGATTAAATGCACAAATATTATAAAGTATAGATAAAAAATCAATCCAACATGACTTTATTTTATCGGATAGAAAACGGACTTTTATATCGTGTGTATAGATTAATGAGAATAAATTCATGGCTAGTATTTCACAGCACATTTGCTACATTTTATCGTATTGGCGTAAGGATATTTATATCGCGAGCAGAAATTTATTTTCACTTAACTTTTAACGAGAATTGAAAAGTACGAAAACAAATAGTTTAAAATACATGTATTATTTTTTAAATAGGAAAAGAAATGTCCCGTTTAGAAAATAAATGTATTAACATAAGTACCGAGCTCAATGTAAAAAAAATACAAAAAGGGGGGAGTGCATTTTATTATTCGACTACAATAACCAACCAAAAGGACGAATGGAAAACAACTGACATATTGGTACGGGCATGTCCAGAACAAAATATTGATTAAACCTGACGTTATAGATATATATATAGATAGATTAACCTTCTACTTTAAAGACAGTTGTTATAGTTCCGTTATTTGGACAAACAATAGATATAAGAAGATGTGGTATGAGTGCCAATGAGACAACTCTCCATCCAAGTCAAAATTTATAAAAGTTAACCATTATAGGTCACAGTACGGTCTTCAACACGGAGCCTTGGCTCACACCGAACAATAAGCTAAAAAGGGCCCCCAAAAATTACTAGTGTAAACATATATGTAATGAAAATAAGTATATATTTTGATACAAATTATTAATACACTTGCACCACTTATTGCGGACCTGTTTTTGCATTGTTATGAGTTACAATTTATGACTAAAATCAGCAAAGACCCATCGAAACAACATCTAATACAAAAATTTAATAACACTTTTAGATATTTGGATGATATATTGGCTCTCAATAATGACGACTTCAGTATGTACACTAAATAGATTTGTCCTGCTGAACTGACTTTAAATAAAGCTAATACTAACAATGAACACTGCTCTTATCCTGGATCTTGATATCTATATCTTTAACGGGAAGTTTAATAAAAAAATTTACGATAAAAGAGATGATTTTTATTTCCTATTGTTAATAATCCATTTTAGATGGTGACGTTCCCCTGTCACCATCTTATGGTGTTTAATAACTTGTTCGAATCGCTTCGTGTATGTAACAACGTATTTGATTTTAACGAAAGAAATCTCTGTTTTACTGAAAAATTATTACACCAAGGTTTTCGATATCACAAACTAGTCAAACATTTACTAAATTTTATCATCGGTACAAGGACATCATTTTATGGTAATATTCTATACAAAGCACAAAAATGTCGTCATTCACCTCAAAAGCTAACAAAACCTTTAAATAGACTTGTTCGGAAGGGATATAGTTACGATACTGTTGTCAGGTCATTAAAGTTGGCATATTTTGGAATTAATATTGATTCCATTCTAAATTTTATGTGTGAGCAACTGAAATAAACATAATACATTATAGATATACAACACAGTTAACTTTGAAAAATCATTAAAAAAATATAATAAATGTTACAAAGATTAAAAAAAATGATGGTACATTATAGGTTAACATAATTTAATATACCATTTCCAAATCAAGTCTAAATTGAGAAAAAAATAAATACAAGGGTAAACAAAATGAAAATACCACTTTTTTCTTGAATCCGAATCTCATATCCTTACCCACTTGCACCAGGAACGTCCAAAACCTAAAAATCCAAAAATAACGAGCCACGTCATGCAAACAAAAGGAACATAATAGTACAAGACACATAAAGGGAAAACTGCAAAGTAAATAAAATGATACACAAAAACCTCATCACCTAGAATCTATAACTCAAGACCATCCTGTATTATTTGTAAATATTCATCTAATAGGTCATGCTAATAACAGGTAAAAAAAATGAGAAATACGTATTTAGTTGTGAACATGTCTTTGTTACAGAAGTTTCAATAATGGTTGCTGATCAATCCTGAATGCAACTATGGTTGCTGCAACGTTTGCTAATAGAGGATTTAAGTACATTCCGTTGGTAAGAGCCATTTTTCACATTGTATGGTCTTATTTAGGAATTACAATGTTTTCACATAAGACACGCAAAATAAATTTGAATTGAAATTGAAACTCACCATAGATAGCAGGATTAAAATTTTGAACACCAGACGCGTGTCTTGTCTACATACGACTCGTCAGTGGCGCTCGATTCAAAAAAGTTAAAAAGGCTAATTAAAGTACGAAGTTGAAGAGGAAAGAGAACCAAAATTCCGAAACAAATACAATTAAATGTGCTTAAGCCATGATGGAAATAAACGTCATAGATTTTCATATTTACAAGTCCCTTCAATCAACATACTTCGTATTTCCTTATGTGTGTAAAAAAGTAAGAGGGCAATTTTCAACCCGAAAACAAATCAATTTTTAACAGAGAGAGCCATAAAACCTTTCAAAACTAGTAGTGTTTTTTTATAAATATAAGTATATATAAAATCAATATTTGTTGACAGTTGATACAATCATAGACTATTCCTTATTTTGGCCTCTTTCGTTGTTGTTTCATTCCATTATTTGAGTAATAAATTGATTAGTTATTTCATAGTTTCGGGGATGTTCAAATGTATGTGGCTTCGGAAGCGTTTCATTATATACAGGTTACGATTGGTATAGTTTGTCTTTTAACACTAGCCGGTTCTTATTCCATGTTGTCTTTTTAATCTGAAGGGAATACCTGCATGGTTGTCTTTTTGGTTTAGCAATAATCTCCTATGTTCAATTTTGAACTGCTCAGCAAATTTGCGTTAATTTTTTTTTGTCTTTTATTTCATTGTTTTGTTTTACTTTTGCAGCTTATCAGTATATATTATTGTTTTTTTTTAATCACTCTACAATTCAGTTCCTTTCAGTATTTGGATCTCAACTGCTCTATAAATGTGGATCTCGTCTGCTCTATAAATCTCTTTCTGAATTCATGTTTTCATTTGCTATCTTCTAATTATACTCTCTTAAAACTTTCGATACGGAATGAGTGGAAGGTTGTTGATCTTTCTTTTAATCTGATCCTAGTGATTTAATGAAGATTCTTTTGAAACATATAATTTGAAACAACAGATGGCACTTCTGATAGCTGATCAAATCTCGTTATGGAAATTTTAAGTCTCATATGGTTCGCCACAATGATATCTTTTATTTCTATTTCTGATAAACAACATAACTGAAAAGTTATTATGCACTCTTTAATGAAGTGAAAAGTTAAACGTTACTGGGAAAAACGTTTTTCAAATAAAAAGGTCTTGAGTTCATTAAATATGTACTAAAAATAAGAATAAGTATGTTTGCAAGAGGTTTGCGCATATTTTAAGTGTTCATCAAAATGCAGTGAGTTGTTCTTTTCCTTCTTGGATCAATCTAATAATTGAGTTGGTATGTCTGTTGTGCACTTTAAATTTTGAATTCATGTATAACGCCCGATATTTAATCATATGGTGTGCGTATGTTCACCTCAGTATCTTGAATTTTCTCTTTCTACAAAAATGATAATATCAAAATAAAAAGGAAAATAGTTGAATAGTTTTTTGTTTGTTCCAACTCGGGAAAGGTGGTCTGATATTTCCACAGATGTGTTCTAGTTTATAGATATAAATATTGATTCCAGATATTTCTTTGGATAATGTTTAATTATTTTTGATATTTGCAGGTACTTGCTGTTTTGGTCATAATAATTGTAATTTTTCCATACAGTAGACAGATAAATATGTCAACAACTGTTACCAATGTGATGCATGGAATGGTTCCATCTGTCGTATATTTCAACTCCAACAAAAATAAAACAGACACATTATGCCAAAACTGTACGAAAATCAATCCTTCTTTCAATACAAAACCGATCTTTCAGAACTACTTTTTTCCAGAGTCTAAGTGTGACAAAAAATTATTGGTGTATGAATGCGCTGGAATTTGCGGAGGACTTGGTGACAGAGAAAAGGGAATTTTAAGTGCATTTTTGCTATCCTTATTAACCCAACGTACTTTTGTTGTACTTCATCGAACACCATGTGAAATTAAGAAGTTTTTTGAGCCACGTATATATGATTGGTCAAAATGTTCAGCATCTGTATCACAAGCTAAATCAAAGGGATTTTTAATGGTCAACTACATTGATGCACATGGAAATTTGCCCCAGAGTTTTGAAAATTTAAGAGGATATGATATATGGAAAGAACACGTGGTTTTTATACACGTTAACATTCGTTTGAATAACAGGATAATGAGCCATCCAATAGCAAGAGAAACTATACCATGGATTTTGACATCGCCTCCTGAATTTGTTATGTCTCAACTGTGGCATGCGCTATTTAAACCAGAAGCAGCCTTACTTACACACTTAAACAACTTCATTACAAATTGCACATTGAATAGCAAACGAAAGCTTATTGCAGTTCACATTCGTACTAGATTTCTTCAGAAAGACCTTAGCGCGCATGTAAAACAAATATTCGCATTTCTTGATAATTATAATGACAAGTCAAATTTTACCCTTTACATTGCATCCGATAGCGAGGATATAAAAAATCAAGCAAAAAAAAGATATCTGAACTTTGCTTCATTAAACAGACACGTTGTGCATATCGACGAGACAAATGATGCATGTGATGGTATGTACACAGCTATTTTTGAACAACTAGTATTATCCAGGGCCGACATACTAGTCATGACACAAAGCGGGTTTTCTCGTATGGCGGCATATATCCGTGGCAAGCCTGACGAAATATATCTTTATCATGCTAAAGATAAATCAGACGAGTCCTTTTTTGAACAAATAACACTAGAAACACTGCCAAAAATGTTTCCAATCAGCTAATCACGATCACTGTTAGAGGAACATGACAACAGAAATATTTCATGTAATATCAATTATAGATTAAATATGATATTTTAAATCCTGGTCCTTTTGAAAGATAAGAAGATAAAGGAATTCAGAAGACAATTACCAACAGTAAACGTCATTACCAATTGAATCAAAGAAAAATAGAGAGAACTCGATTATTCCGAAAGATCATGATGTTAACATATTCCTGGTAATTTTGATAATACTGAGCTACCTCTAATTCATTGTGTTTACAAAAAATCTACACGGAAATATGATTTTGATTATAGCGAGATGTATAAAAATAAATATCGTCCCCCGTCAATTATTGATTGGAATGTGTGTCGTAACATCATCTACGACTCATTCCGTCCATACCTACTGTGTGAAAAAGATAAAACGAGAAAAAGCTTAGATTCTTTTTTTCAATTCAGTGATGAAAATAGTTGATATTCGTATTAAACATTTTAAAGAACATTTTACTCCTGACAACAACCATAATAACCCTATTTCTCGTATCAAACATAAGTTAAAAGAACTCGGCAAGGGATTTGTTTGTCCCGGCTGATAAGGCTGCCAATAATATCATTATTGTTTGACGTAAATTTTATATTGAGGTCCTGCAAATTAAGGAAATCACGAATTCACCAACGTTCCAACTGACTCAATTTTCGGAAAATGACATCGTTAACAAACAAGCTTTTTGCTACCTCTTTACAAGCCGAACTCATTTACATGAACGTTCCAACTATGAACTGGCTTCCGTCTTCAAGCCTTTGCATTATTAATTTGTGTTGATCATTTCCATTTTGCTTAGTTTCTTCTGTTTTCTATTCTAATATCGGACGCTCGGACTTCCTTTAAACTGAGTTTCACTGTGCGTATTAATTTGTATTTGTTTATTCCACATTGGCTAGAGGTAAAGGGGGAGAGTTGCGATCTCACAAAACATGTTTAACCCCGCCACATTTTTTTGCGCCTGGCCCAAGTCCGGAACCTCTGGACTTTGTTAGTCTTGTATGCTTATTAATTTTGGTTCATATATATTTTTCGGAGATTAGTGTGGTGTCCATTTTACTGAACTAATATACATTATTGTTAAAGGGCCAGCTGAAGTCCGTCTTCAGGAGCGGGATTTTTCTCGCTGCATTGAAGACCCATTTGTGGCTTTGGTCTGTTATTTGCTCTTTGGTCGGGTTTTTGTCTCTTTGACACATTCCCCGTTTCCATTCTAAATCCTACCTTAGCAGCATTAGACAAAACTGTTCGGAACTCTTGGTCTTTGGTGCTTTTTAGCTTCGAACTGAATTTGGTGATAGATATTTAAATGGTATGCACGCACGATTAAGAAATGGCGCTTTACATGGATTTGTTTCGGGCAAATATTAAACCAAATGCAATGTGTCAATGTTGATGTTTATATGACAGCCTTTTTTTTCCGTAGTATCCTCAATATCAAGTTTCACTGGTATATATGAGATGTAATCACTAATTGGAATGTGGGTTATTTAGTGACAGAACATCATCAATACATCTGAAATAAAAATGAAAAACTTTGCAAGATGCTTTTTTGTTTTGTCTTTTGAAGGTTCTGTATGAATTCCCCTTCATATGTTTACAAAAAAACAAACGACCGGCCACGGAGCACAAATAGAATGGCATATGGACTGTCTTTTGAAATATCAATCCACCATTTTTGTCGATCAAAAAGTCCAGCATTAGTACGGTATCTTTCTTCGGTGTATCTGTTGTGGGATTCGGTGTGGATTTTCACTGATCAAGATTTTCCATGATCCAAAAAGGAATTTGTATCTACGTTTCCTATTTTTAAAACTGGTAAAATTGTCTCGTAGCTTTAAATGATTTGGTTGACTATGCTAATAATCGTGTTGTAGTACGGTACGTTGACAAGGCACAGTCAATCTTAGGGCAAATTGATTTCGGTGCATAACATTTGCGTGCATTACCGGTACATTTGCGCGCAAAAATCATTACGTTTCGCACAGCTTTTGATTACATTTGCGCGCATTCTTTTACATGTAAACTCGGGTAAATACAGGTATATTATACTTATTTATTTATTTAACTATTATTTTCGAGCAGGATAAGTCCGTTTTATTGCGCACAAACACTTTGTCCTGGAAATATAAACACATAAAAATGTAAAAAAAACCATAGTAAATCTAAAGATTAAAAGTACTGATTTTACATTTTGTAACGTGCACAAAAATACATGGGTGTATTCTATGCGACTGTCATAAAAGTGAGAGGTTTAGCTAGCTATAAAACCAGGTTTAATCCACCATTTTCTACATAAGGAAATGTCTCTACTAAGTCAGGAATATGACAGTTGTTTTCCATTCGTTAGATATGTTTTAGCTTTTGATTTTGCCATTTTATTTGTTTTGAATTTATCTTGGAGTTCAGTATCTTTGTTTTGAACAAAATTGCTCATTGTAGTGAGCATGGAATGATTCCGGGCCGTTTGTAGTACGACTGGATTCTGCTGACGGTATAGTGATGCCCAAAGACGTTGAGTAAATAGGGAATCTGGTAAAATAACTTTCCAATTATTTACAGTGCATCGCCATGAAATATCCCGGACTTCAGCGTTCTGTCGATACGAATAGTAAATCTAGCGTACACAAATGATCTTCACCCCGATTTGTTTCTGACAAACGAAACTCCATGTGTGTGCCCTGACGCAACTTTACAAACTTAAATTATTTTATAAATCGCTATTCGGTAGAAATATGAAACAGAATGCTATTTACTTTGAAATATTTGCAATTAACTGGCATGTATGTCTTAAGCTATTACGGGATTTCTCATAATCGCTGTATATTTTTTTTAGAAATCAATATGAAAAATATATAATTTTAATTTACAAAAAGAACATGTTCAAAATTCATATTAACTATAGTCAAATTTATTATGAATTATCTTTATTTTACCTGTGTTACCTGTAGATTAAATTTGTTTACGTTTGCGCGCAGCTTTTGATTACATTTGCGTGCATTCATTTTACAAATGGGTGCAAATATAATGCGCCCATTGGTTTTGGCATTCTTTTTAGTTTAATTTTGGTAAATAACTATTCAATATTTGATATTTGCAGATTTGGGTTCGAGCATTACTGCAAATATGTGTGGGATTTGTATTGCCCAATCATAGTTTTCTGTGTAATATTTGGTTAGTGTTGTTTGTCTTTTCATGTAGACCATAGATTGATTTGGCTATTATTTTAGGTCCTATACTTTTTCAGGTGTTTCGGTTTTGTTTAAATTTTTAGCTTCGGATATTCGACTTTGAACATTGCTGATGAAGGTAAATGCAAAAAAGCACTTCGGACGCATACAATTTATAAGTGTTATTTTCATTTGTTTGTGGTTTTTGTATGGCCATTGTCTGTTTTTATTGAATTTATGATTTGTAATTGACCCCTTGGTATCTTCTACTTCTCTTTTCAACATATTTCATTAAGTTTTGCATTCCGAAATATTTTAATATATTATTGATTGATTGTTGGTGGTTAACGCCACTTTCAGCACTATTGACTATACCATAGCGGTCAGTGTTTCTTGGTGGAGGAAGACGTAGTACCCCGATAGAACTACCTACTTTCGTCAGGAAAACTGACATTTCATAAAGATTGTAGTCGAACCCACCTGCTACTTGCGCAGCCTGTGTGTTGATAGTCTAGTGGTACAGTTAAAGAAGTTCTGAAACCACTCGGCTATCGAGGCCCCAAACATACTGTTGAAAACCACTTATTGTTTGGTGTGATCCTTACTTTTCATAAAACAAATTAGAATATTAACAACTATAGTTGTAATTGTATTGAAGGTGACTATAAAAACATGTGATATGATTTCCGTGTGCATATATGTCATTGCTTGACTATTTGACAACCCGGCATTTATGAGAATCCTGATTTTAAATGTCAGAATTTGTTTGTTTATTTACGTTGTTTCTCTTTAATCGATTTACGATATCTAAACATTTGTAATCTACTGTCGCCTTATTTTCTTTTATATTTTCTGTTCAGATAAATAAAACACTATCCTTCGTCAATTTTCATTCAATAAATATTGCAAATTATATAAAACACACTGCTTGATAATTTTCCGCCATGGAATACTACCGTCTTCTTATATTCATCGAAAAGTCTCTCATTCCCTTTATTTTGGATCAATGAAAAGAATAGTTAAAATCTTACGATGCTATATCATGCAAGATTTGGTGTAAGTTCAAATTTCATCATAAGGTTAGGAATTTTTCGGTTATAAAGCTCCAATAGACAGAAACGTTGAAATGACTAACGCTACCAAGTTTGAAATTTGCTTTTTATAGGTAATGAAGTATTTCTAAAGTAGTGATGAATGGTTGGTTTACAAAGACTGAGTATTCTAAATACCATAGTTAAAAAAAAGATGAAGTGTGTTTTACATAATTGTAATGCAAAATTGATGACAAAAGGTCACTTTCAATAGGACGTGATATTACCATATGACACTGATGATGAGTCAAACTTAAGAAGTGTCAAAATATAGTGGACATAAGCTTCTGAGAATCGAATAACCTTTGATTTATGTTCCCAATACACAGGTATGTTGCTACTAAGAGAAGCAATGTCATATTGAAGCCCAATTTCACAATGTCATAAAGTAAAATGTCCGTTTTCAGAACTTACAGATCATTCGACAGAAATATTGTGAAACGGATTGTTTTATCAAAACTGTACTTTCAAAGGAAAAGCATTACGACATGGAATACTTAGATGCAACATTGTTGGTTATTGCACACATAAAAATACGGAAATGCAATAGGATTGACAAATTAAAGTAAAATAACAAAAATACCGAACTCCAAGGAAAATTCAAAACGGAGGTCCCTTATCAAATGCCAAAATTAAAATCTCAAACACATCAAACGAATGGAAAACAACTGTCATATTCCTCTATTGGTACAGGCTTTTTCTAACAGTGAGACAATTATCCAGAAAATTTCACAAAATCTCTATTTTTGCCCTATTTGCGGTGAAACTGTCAAAGATTTGTAAGATAAAAAGACAGAAATTGTCCCCTTTCACTTTACCACAAATATATGCGTCAACTTGTCATCTTGAGAAATGGATATTTGGAGCTAATGATATATTCATTTTTGGAATTCATTTAATCTGATTTATGGGAGGGGTGGCTTTCTTATAATCACTATTTCAATTAAATAAGTTGATACTGTGACTGTCAATTCTAAACCGTCTCATAAAGGTAATATGAACGTATTTATTTTTTTTAATTATTATTTTTTTTATATATTGGAAAA